TTGCACGTCCCACATCCGGGTCGTACGTCATCAGTAATCAGCAACTACAGAATTAGTAATCACCACTTCACAAAATCTGTCACTATAGTGAAAGCTATGAAAACAAATCAATACAAGTCTTCACGTTTCCATCCAACGAAACAATCTGTTCGTGATATTTTATCGGTCAAGTCAATGAATGAAAGCTCTAATGGCCATATGTTTACTCTGAAAGTGAAAAAAGATCACGATCTCGTAAGTAAAACAAGAAAAAATACAAGAAAGTCGTGACAGTTCCTTCGTGTGCTGGTGTAGGTGTAGGTGTAGGTGTAGGTGTAGATGCTGCTGTTGCTGTAATGAAGGTGTACATAGGTGTTGGTGTAGGTGTGTAAATGTAGGTGTAGGTGTAGGTGTTGGTGTTGGTGTTGGTGTTGCTGTACATGTAGGTGTACATAGGTGTTGGTGTAGGTGTGTAAATGTAGGTGTAGGTGTAGGTGTAGGTGTTGGTGTTGCTGTAGATGTAGGTGTACATAGGTGTAGGTGTAGGTGTTGGTGTTGGTGTTGGTGTTGCTGTACATGTAGGTGTACATAGGTGTTGGTGTAGGTGTAGGTGTTGGTGTTGGTCCAGATCTGTTCTGTTTGGGAGAGGTTTGGAGAAACAGCCGGCCATGAAAAAAACCCCGTGCAACATGTGGGCGGGCATTACCCTGCTGCAACGTGGCGTTACGTCCCTGCATTTTCACAAAGTGAGTGAGTTTGGTTTTACGCCGCATTTAGCAATATTCCAGCAATATCACAGCAGGTGACACCAGAAAAGGGCTTCACACATTGTACCCATGTCGGCAATCGAGCCAGGGTTTTCGGCGTGACGAGCGAACGCTTTAACCACAAAGCTACCCGACCGCCCCCAATTTCACAAAGAGTAGAACGATGCCGTCCCGCATGGATGAGTTGTGTTCTCCCAGGAGCTGTGATACCACCCCATGCCATTACGCTTCCATCCCAAAACTGACGTTCTCCTGGGCGCCTTACTGTAGATCCAGGCACATCCATAAGAGGTTTTCAGATGTAACCTGGACTCATCTATGAACAATATACTGTCCTAGTCTTGTGTCAATGGGCGTTATACGACTCTTGCTCAGAAGTTGTTTCATCAAGGTTACAACGCCTCAGTAAAGCTTTTAAAAAGTTGTGGTAGACAGCCGGAGGACATTTCCAAATTTGACGCATCAGTAACAAAAATGATGTCCGATGCAATTCCCTATTTTGTACCAAATGTTCCCGTGTTTATTCAGGTGAACAATTGACTTGACTTTGCATGTGTTTGTGACGGGTGCCAGCGGTGGGGCAGGATACGCTCACCTTTTCGCGAACACCTGGTATCATTACTTCATAGTAATTCATAAACACATGCTCATGATATAGTCGGAATCAGAATCGTACAATCGACTCTGCTTTATGCAGAGATTTCTATTGGATATGGAAAAGGCTTTGTCGCTTTATTGTCTTCTGAACCTTAGATGCTGTCTAGGAGTATCGCTGGGCGTCGAAGCGGGATGTTGTGCTCCCTCAACCAGCTGCGTACAGTTCTGCCTATGATTGCTCTCAACCTAGGAATATTATTGTCCGAGCTGTAAATGTGGCAGCTTGGTAGCGATTCCGCTGATGCACCAACCGAATATGGCTGTTTGTTGACGTGACGTCACACGTGGACTACCGGACCGTGGCAAGTCATAACTTTTGCCCTTTTGTAGATAACGTATCCAAAGAGATGATATTGTGTTTCGATGAACATTTAAATGTCTGTCAGCTTCGTATTATGTCATTCCTGATTGCAGCATTCCCACAGCGATGATTTTCAGCATTCAGCATTTCAGATTTTCGGTCGCCTAATCTTAAAAAGATATAACATATCAAAACTTGATTTCTATGTTGTTTTGGCCGAGATCTATGATCACAGAATTGTTACGAAAAACTCTTACATCATGGGGGCGACATACGAGGGGTGTTCATTAAAGATTTCCCTTAAACCACTTAGAGTTATCATATTTGGTTGAAATTTCACATGTGTAATGATACATGTATCTATGGGTTATGTCTGAATTTGCAGCACCGAACTATTAATCTTACCACTTTTACAGGTATTATGATCGAGTAGGGTGTGACAATGGAGCCAGTAGAATACCGAGCAGTGATTAGGTTTTTATATTTGAAAGGTCGCACACCAAAAGGAACTTTCGATGAAATGAAAGCAACTTATGGGGAAGATGCCCCATCATATGACGTTGTTAAACACTGGCATCGCCAGTTCAAGTGTGGTCGGACATCTGTGGAAACTGCCATTCCTGGTCGCCCCCATTCAGCCATTGATGAGGACACTATCCATCAAGTGGAAACCACCATTTGGGCAGACCGACGTATAACTGTTCGCCAGTTAGCACAAGATGTCAAGATCAGTGTAGGGTCTGTGGAAAAAATCATCGATGACAATTTGAACATGCATAAGGTGTCTGTACGATGGATTCCCAGGTTGCTCACACCTTTCCAAAAGCAGGAACAAGTCAATTGCTCAAAGGATCTTTTGGACATGTGCCCAAAAAAACCGAGGCAGACTTTTTTGACAGACTTATCACACAGGATGAAACATGGGTCTATCACTATGATCCTGAGACTAAAGTTCAGTCAATGCAGTGGAAGCATGTGGAGTCACCACCCCCAAAGAAGGCACGTGTCCAACCCTCTGCAGGCAAGGTCATGCTCACTGTGTTTTGGGACCAGCACGGAGTAGTGATGATGGATTTCTTGGCAAAGGGTACCACAATTACAGGAGCTTATTATGCTTCACTGCTGCCGAAATTGCGGGAAATCAAGCTTAAGAGACGTGGCATGCTGACCAAGGGTGTCCGTCTCCTGCAAGACAATGCTCAAGTACACATCTCTCATGTTGCCTAGACAGAAGCGCGGTCCTGTGGCTATGAAATCCTTCCACATCCTCCTTACTCTCCTGGCCTTGCACCATCTGACTTCCACCTCTTTCCAACCATGAAGTCATTTTTGAAGGGAAAACGTTTCACAGATGATGAAACACTGATTTCTGAAGTCAAGTCCTGGTTTGAGACGCAAAATGAGGGCTTTACAAGCGAGGTCTCCATAGTTGCATAAAACGATGGTAGAAGTGTGTAACTCTTGGTGGTTCCTATGTGGAGAAAGACTAATACCTATGCCAAGTTTCATTCCACTAGGTCCATCGGAAGTGGGTCAGGGGAACTCTTTAATGAACACACCTCGTAATATAACGATGCGTATTAGATATGAAATAGGAATCTATTGTATTCTTTCAGAACGAAATGCCCTAAAATTAAATCCAGTTGTATCTCCATGCGTAGACAACGAAATATAGCTCCCGGTTTATTTTTATATAGCCTAGATTGTAGGCAATGTCTCCATGATCATCGTGGGGTTTTATTTATTTCGTTTATTTTGGGAACATAGGGCCTACCTTGAAATATGTTTACACCCCATTTGGTATTTCTCTTTGAAGTTGTTGCAAGTCTCGATTCGATCATTTCTTGAAACTAGACGGTGCTAGCGTTGGGGTTTGTTGTTTTGTAAAGCTATTGCCATTTCTTGAGTTGCAGTTGTGGGAGTATAGTTGAAGCTGTAATCTCTAGAAAATTGCATATTTCTTCCAGATTAAAATCCTTCAGAAAATCTAAGTCATCAAATCAAGGACCAAATACAGACTTTGAATCGAAATAAATAGTTGAAGTCGGCCATATTGTTGCCGTGTGCTCAAGACGACGTAGACGATTGTATCTGGACTGCGCGTGATAAATACGGTAACTACGGAGACCGGACCAGACAAAAAATACCTGAAAAACTCTTTATTTCGCTTGTAAACTTTTTATGAACTTTGAATCACGTGATTTGTGTTTTGTTAAATTGTTAGTATATGTTTGATACCTCAAAATAGCACCAACATGTTACCAGGCCTGATAACTTAAAATTCACGACGATACAGTAGAGTAGAAAGGGAATTCCCTCCACTGTTCTCTGGGATTCCCCGACATTCCGTACTGATAAAAGTAGTCCGCTTCGGTGGGCGTGGCTTAAGTTTTTACATTCAATACACTCAGGCGCACAGGGGGCACGGGTGGCCCCACACTCCGTCGCAGTGGTGACTCAGCATAACATACTATGCTAGCTGGCTGCCGGCCGCATGGAACTCTGGGTAGGAGAGTGGGGTGGCCCAGTCGTCTAAGGCGCCGCGATTCGCTGTGCAGAGTTGCGGCCCTTGGGCACGCCAGAAACCTATGATTGTGGGTTCGAATCCCGGTTTACCCCAATTATGTTTCTAGGTTTGTCAGCACCATACCCGTGCTCGTGGGTTTCACCGAAGTGGTAAACGTCTGAGACCTGCATCACTTCGGGCTTTCCTCACACATTAAGCTGACATGCCGTGATATAACTGGAATACTGTTAAAAGCGGCGTTAAACCCAACTCACTCACTCACTCACTCAGGCGCACACTCCGGCACAGGGGTGACTTTACATAACACCACTCCCACAGGCTAATTGGCATATTACGTGACCGGACTTTTCTCTTGTTTGTAAACAAATGCGCGTTTTCAGAAATCAGAATAGAACGGACTAATGCAAGTATTTGGGGGCGCTTTACATGTTTTGCATAATTATATAGAATTGCTTATACAACTGCGACAGTTAGTTGCATGACAATACATATTTACATCACCTCACCTGACAATAAGATGTAACATTTAAAAAAACGTTATGTGTTTCATTAAACATTCCAGCTTATAACAACAGAGTTGAAATCACCACGCGCAGAAACCACGTACGGGACTTGGGGACATATCCAACGAGATGTGATACAAGAAAATATACCAACCAAAGAGGAATCGATGTCATTAGTAGTATGTAGATCCTGTCAAATAACTGATACATGTGTTCCTTATTGTCGAGGCCTACCGAATTCTTTTCTACAAAATCTTCTGGCTTTGGGAATCTGACTGAGCACAGAAAACGCAAAAATTTTAATGACAGTCAGGGGCAGATAACTCTAATTCCTTCATCAATGGTGCGGAAGTTGCCAGTGTTTGAATTTGCACGTGTATTTACGAGGGAGATTTTCGGAATTAAGAGGTTAGAATAACCAGTCGTTACAGAAACACTATAGTAGATTTGATACACAAATTATTTCGTAATCTGTTGACCATGTTGAAGCATGTGCTATTTATAACGAAACCGGTGATGGTTAATGTGACATCGATACATGATATAGGCTGCTTGTGTCTGTATATTTTGGTCACTGAGATGTGATTTATTCAAACTTTATTGTGGATGAATCTGTATGTAGATAAACACTGATAAGGAAGTGTTGGTAAACAAACTGAACATTAATAAAAGGTCTGTTGAAAGATTTGGTAGTAGATGTTCATGTCACGTGTTTGACTGTTGTAATTGTATTTATTTAGTCGCATCTCCATCTTGACAATAAGTAAGTGTCAAAATATCGAGTAATTACTAATTACTAATCAATGACGATAAATTGAAATAATTCATTGATAGCATTAGTATACTTTTAGATACACAATTTAACATAATGTTGATAGCTTGACAGGATCAGTGATAACACTGTTAACAGGACAGATGATGGTCAAGTCAATGGATGTCAGTTGTATCACTAGACTAGTAATGTTTGTTTGCAATATTCCAGCTATATGACGGCGGTCTGTAAATAATCGAAGCTGAACCAGACAATCCAGTGATTGACATCATGAGCATCGAACAATGCAATTGGGAAATGATGACATGCATCAACCAAGTCAGCGAACCTGACCACCCGATCCTGTTAGTCGCCTCTTAAGATAAGCAATGTCGCCTTTAACGGCAAGCATGGGTTCTACCACGGATCTTCACGGATCGACTAGTAATGACCCCACAAGGTTGAAATGTGATTCTGAAGAAATAGAATAACGAGAAAGGCACATTTGTTTAAGAGGCTACTTATAGGCCTAAAGTTGTATAAGTACAGATATGCAGGGATGAGAATCTTCCCCCATAAACACCCCCAAGTTATGGACCATGTTCCATTGCAAAGATGTTTATGCTGAAAAGGAAAATATCCATTCTCATCCCTGAATATGTTTTGATCAATTTCAATCTCATTAAAATCAGATCTTTATTCTTGCAACAGCTAAACAAAGTTTGTGTAGCTCTAGCGATAACTAGGATCCGATTTTAATGAGATTGGATCTGTTGGCCATGTAGACTATCTCTGAAGCCGTGTGACGTCTCTGCCTTCCGACATATGAGTGGAGAACCTGCCAGCAAGCGGCCCTGCATGATGAAGATAGGGACTCACAATGGCACCTTCCACTGCGATGAAGTGTTGGCGTGCTTCATGCTGAAGCAGTTACCCAAATATAAGGATGCTGAAATTGTCAGGTGAGAATATTGTGTAGATCAGGGTCCTACCTGGGTTTCTCACATGATTCCCAAACTTTGCACACAAATCCTGCACGAGTCAAATGGTGCATCTGGAGTCATGAAGCTATCATGTCACATGTGATGCTTTCATGAGCGTTGGTTCACACAACATACCAGTATGGTTGTTTGTGAATCAAACTAATCTAATATCTCTTGAATATGAGTAATTCTTCATATATTAACAAACATATATGTATTCACATTTTTTTTGTCGGTGAACGAAATATATTAACTTGGAAATTTGTAATTCCAATTTGGGCATTTTTACTGACATTTGCTCCAGATTTGGGAGTGTCGGCCTCTGAGGAGGGCTAGATAAACCCCTGTTAGTTTCATGACACAACTACTCTTTTGATTGGTCCAGATTTAATTATGTTACACAATATTCTCTCACTGACATTTCTGTGTGGCCAGAACGCGTGATGCTGCAGTACTTGACACATGTGACATCGTGGTTGATGTTGGGGGAGTGTTTGACACAGCCAAGAACAGATTCGACCATCACCAGAGGTAACAATAGCTGTGAGATATTACTTAAAGTCATCCTTGTTGAGGCCATATTAAACAAAACCTGCAATGTAACTCTAACTGAATTTATATAATATTTTCAGGGCTTGATTTAGCTGTGGAAAACATGCACCAGTGTAATCTATTATTGAAAAATGAAACCTAATATTATGTGTCTACATGCTCTAAGTGCGTGTCAGAAAGGTAATATGTGTGTGACTAAGCCTTAATTGTTCACACAACATGGATCTTTGAACACAGTAGCTCTAGGCTTTATTTACCATACAATATCACTAATCCCTGTGTGATGAGTTATTTGCCATGCTCACTTGGATGTGATGTCATCAAACTGTGGGTACTTCAACATTATGTTCCTATAACATTTTACACCAACACGTCATTCATTTATGTGACACTGGCAGCAGTCTGGCCTCTTTTTCAAAAGTGTGTTCCTTAAAGCGAGCTCTGTATATGGTCTGGTCTGTCTTGCAGACCCTGATACAAATATATATCAAATACAGCCCATGCAAGTCTATAATGTTTGGCAAGTCTAGATCACTGCAGTATCTGAAAATGAAGAGAGTCACTGGGCTCCTTTTTATTATATTTTTATTAAGATAACTGAACAACTGTTTTTTTTATGTACGATATGTTCATTTCAGAGACTAGATGTTAGTCTATATATGGTCCACAATTCGGAATGGCTGTCTGTCAGTGAACATTCAATGGCCGAGACGGAAAAAAATCCCTAATACCGAACTTCGAATAACAGTAGGGGCATGTTTGACCCAAATTTAGGTGCTGACATGTGCTGTGCAGAGTCACGCCCCTTAGGTGTGCCAGAAGCCCTATGATTTTGGGTTCAAATCAAGGTTCGACTTGATTCTGTTTCTAGGTTTGCCAGCACCATACCTGTGCTCGAAGTTTCACAAAAGTGGTAAACGTCGGAGACCTGCATCACTTCGGGCTTTCCTCCCACACAAAGCTGACACACCGTATACACCGTGAACCCACCTCACACACTCACTCGTCTTAACCAGACTAACTGGCCCATTGTAGGTCCATGTGACAAGGAATCAAACTAGGTAGCACGCAAATGAAAGAGAAGATAAAATTTTGCCGTCTACATTTTAGAAAAACAGTTGAGATCCATTTATTTTTTTCTCATGTTTTGGAAATGTTTTGTTTGTAGGACCTCTGGAGACGGATCTGATTTTGTGAACAGAAAGCAACATTCACCCACTTATTGTGTTAAGTCGTTTCCAGAATTGAAACCTGAGATCCAAGGAATGTACTTATTTTGTTTGTAATAGTGATGTTCTTATTGCCAACATGTCACCATGGTTACAGGACCTTCTCAGAGAGCATGACGACGCTCCGTCCCAACAAGACGTGGGAGACTAAACTAAGTAGTGCTGGTCTGGTGTACGTACACTTCGGCGCTGAGCTCCTCGCAAAGATCCTAGAGCTGCCTCGTGACGACCCTGTCACAAACATCATCTACGACAAGGTGTATGAGAACTTTGTAGAGGAGATTGATGCCATTGACAATGGCATCAACCAGACCGACGGCGTCCAAAAGTAAGATATATATTCTTGTAATAATCATTATGTATTAAATGTTTAAGCTAAATTTTCCCACTCACCTCAGTGGCTGCTGTTCTGTATCAGTATCCCAGCACGATCAGTTGTACAATACAGTCAAGTCTCGCTAATCCGACACTCGTTAATCCAACAATCAGCTTTATCTGACACTAATGATGGGAACCAATTAAATCAGTGCTATTTAGACCCGTTAATCCAACAGTCTGACTCCGACTCCGACACACCTAATTTGCAACATATTACCGAAATCACTCATTAATCATTCTTGTTATCCGACACAGTGATCAGCGTACTCCGTGGTCATCTGCCCGCGAGTACACAGCGGGTGTTTTGATGCAAGACAAGTCGGCTGGTAGCTGCAGAGGTGAACTTTGCTTAACAATAAACAAGTAATGCTTTAAATAAAGAAAACAGGATAAATCACATACTTAGATTACCTCAATCTCATTAAAGTCAGATACTAGTTCTCGCTATCGCAGAGGACAGGTTACGTCAGAAGAACTTTTCGCAAACTATGACCAACGAACGTTGGTACTACTTAATTTCATTTATCCGACATACTCATCAATCCGACATAATCATATGCAACCAGCCATGTCGGATTAACGGGACTTGACTGTATGTTAATTAAGATGGATGTGCATCGTGCAACAGAAATAATGACCTGACTGTTGACTAGAGGCGTCTTGGATGAAGAGAAAAGCTGTAAAAAATATTTAGATTTTACTTATTACCGTATTAGCAGTAAAATAAGTGACCCCTGTCTAACTCCTAGACCAATCTGTAAGTAAGCTTTATAAGCGTCCCACTACTAAGACCGAAAAGGTTCATGACAAGTCTGTATTTACTTGGGTTTTCAGATACCGAATCACGACAACACTGAGCAGCAGAGTTGGGAATCTCAACCCTCAATGGAACCAGACCGACGTGGACGTCGATGTAAGCTGGCCCTGGCAATACATACAGGACAGACATATATGTACATACGTTTATATAGCCAACTGTCTCCTTGTGTCCCCGATGCCTCTGATCCCGACTGAAACTTGTGTACGAGAGCAGTAGATGGCTTGTTCAGATGGATGTCGATGTAGTGTGGTCTGTGGAGCTGTTTTTCTCTGACTAGGGTTACTTCCCTTAGACATGCAAGGATTTGCCGGTTGTATTTTCGAACCTTAGGATTAGACCTTTTCCAGAGTCTCGGACCTGCATCCCTGTTTACTTTCCTCCCATATTTGCTGGAACACCTCCGTGGTCTCGTGGTAGAACGTGTGCCCAGAGAGCAGGTCAGCTCTTCGATCCCCAGCCACGTCATGCCAAAAGATGTTAAAAGATGCTTCTTGTTGTTACCCTGACTGGAGCTCTGCATTAAGGTGCTAAAACAAGGACTGGTTGGCTCGGAGTCAGTATACTGTGTCTGAGTGGGGTTTTCATGTTCAACTGCGGCATGGTATCTCAGGGGGATAGCGCTGTAAAAATGTCATTAGTCCGGACTAGTGCAGGCAGGCAAACACACACACATATGTGCATGCATGTCGCTATATGACTGAAACTATCTTGAATGTGACGTTAAACCACATTTCACCTCACCGCATTATCTCACGATACTGAAATACAGATGGACTCACTCACTCACTCACTCACTCACTCACTCACTCACTCACTCACTCACTCACTCACTCACTCACTCACTCACTCACTCACTCACTCACTCACTCACACCAGATGCTGGATATGGATGTTGCAGGCACAGTTCCGCAAGGCGATGGAGATGGTGGGGGCAGAGTTCATGGACCGTGTGTTGTACTACAAACAGTCATGGCTGCCGGCGAGAGATTTGGTACAGACCGCCATCAAACAGAGGATGGAGGTTTGTGGACATGGCTAATACTCCCGCAGCAGCTAGTGTAGCTAAAACAGCATCGCAGCACAATATCACTGCGCGAAAAACGACACCGGCTGACGAAAACGGCACCTCACCAAAAGCGAAAACGGCTACTATTGGCGGGCAAAAACGTCACCTTAATTTTTAAAGCATATGTACTACTACATAAATCTTTCTTATCGTTATTTAAAATAGAGGTGCCATTTTCGCCCGATAAATACCAAATTGACACATTGAAAGCCTTGAAAATTATTGGCAGAACCTGAAGTCTCTACATGTCAAGTATGTTGGGTTTGGTGGACAAAAGTGACAAAAGGTTAGGAAAATTCTTGGCCCAGTACCACAAAGCAATTTTTTAAAAAAATAACTGGACCATCTCAACATCATAACATTTAGGTTCGTAAAAGGCGACTAATGGGATCGGATGGTCAGGCTCGCTGACTTGGTTGAAGCATGTCATCATTCCCAATTGCGTGGATCGATGCTTATGATATTAATCAGTTGATCGTCTGGTCCAGACTTGATTATTTACAGATCGCCATCATAAAGCTGGAATATTGCTGAGTACGGTGTACAACAAACCAACCAACCAACAATTAGGTTTATGTCATTAAGTAACCTTTCTTGGAAACAGTAACTTTGATGTTATAATGCATTGTCTAGGTCGATGAATCAGGGGAGATAGTCTGCATGAAGGAAGGCGGTGCCCCATGGAAAGATCATCTGTTTTCCCTGGAGGCGGAGCTTGGCGTCAGTCCACCAATCAAATACATCCTGTACACCGACCAGTCCGGAGCGTGGAGGATCCAGTGTGTACCGGTCAGAGTCGGATCCTTCGAGAACAGGTTTGTGTTTGATTTCAAAATTGAGTGTGGGATACTGTAACTATGGGATTACGTCATTTATTAAGACACATTAAAACAAGTATCTTGAAAGAAATTCTAAAGAAAATACTAGTGACAAAACATGTTAAATACTACTCGTATTCCGAGAGTTAAAGAGCGGAGTTGTCATCATATGACGTGACGTCATAGTGGAGAGCGGGGCGGTCGGGTAGCCTAGTGGTTAAAGCGTTCGCTCGTCATGCCGAAGACCCGGGTTCGATTCCCGACATGGGTACAATGTGTGAAGCCCATTTCTGGTGTTCCCCGCCGTGATATTGCTGGAATATTGCTAAAAGCGGCGTAAAATCAAACTCACTCACTCACTCACTCATAGTGGAGAGCTGACTTGGAGATGATCACTGTTTCTTTGTGAGGTTTGGTGGGTTACTTCTGGTTGCCATGGCATCACCAGCCAATGCCATCGATGATAACGTTGAATTTTTGCTCAGTGTCCTTACACCTGTTTAGTCACGATATGGCTGGAATATTGCTGATGTGACGTTAAATATAAACTCACTCGCTACACATATTCATCGATATCAATATGAGCCCGTGGTTAGTGAAAGTAGCAGCGAGGAAATGGAGGAAGATGTACTGAGTGAGACGATGAATCCGATGTGCACATGGAAGACAAGGAACACGCTATCCTGACATGTCTAAACAAAATGGATGTTTATCAAAAAGAAAAACGTGAGGCAGTGTTTCCTGTGTAAAATGTACAAGGTGTAGTTTGATGCTTAGCTTAATTGTGTTGTCATTTTTCTGAACAGTTGGCATAGGAAAAAAGCTAAATTTGTTTTGTATACAAATGAGTGAGTGAGTTTGGTTTAATGCTGCTTTTAGCAATATTCCAGCAATATCACGGCGGGGACCCCAGAAATGGGCTTCACACATTGTACCCATGTCGGGAGTTGAACCCGGGTCTACGGCGTGATGAGTGAAAGCTTTAACCACTAGGCTACCGGCCGCCCCTTATATATACAAATGAATGTTATCGTTATGGGTATCTTCCTGAGGCAGGATCTGCAAAGCATGTGTCCCCCCAACTCAGCAGCAACAGATATTTTCGAAATCATTTCATGTTTTTAATCAAGACGCTCACATGATTTGATACACTTCACGATGAAAGATCCGTTTTATCAAGAGATGGATCTTGATTATCTATCAGATCATCATAACTGGGCGACGCCATTTTGTTTGAAGCAAACTCAAGTGATATCAGAGGTGTCAATAGGGTAGACATAGAATGGACGTAACTCATTGTAGCCACTGGTGGCACTATGATTGAACCCAGAAATTCCAGCCTAGTACGGCAAGGGTGAAAACTGGACTTTTACCGTCAGTTGACGCCCTTGCCCTGGGAAGATGTGTTATGATTGGTTCAGCTGGTTTGAACAGTCGTAATAATGTATACGTCGTTGATCAATAGAGGATGTTAGTGGCAGACATTTAGCTTACTACATGCAGTGACTCGACTCGTTTTGTCCAAATACTTGGACTGCCATATATTAGAGAGAGACACAAATGAAGAATGAAATAAACATAGACAATATATTTAACAACAAAAATATGACCTAAAACTGACAATATCACACTGAGAATACCTTATCATAATAATTTCTCTAAGAATGTATGTGAAGATCCGGAGTAGAATACAGGGATGTGAGCAGATTTTCACCAAAAAAGAGGAAAACTCTCAGGCGGTTTAAACATTTGTTGCATTTTAAGCAATTTCGTGCAATTTGGACAACATTCACACCAAGAAATGTAATAAGTCGATGGCAAAAGTCAAATCAAATAAACAAAGATGGCAGGATGCAGTAAAATTTCTATGTTAAATCATTACTTTTAAAAAGATCGGGCATAGCTTACTCGGACCCAGCTACCCGCCGGGACTGGGAGCAATACTGCCATAAACTTCACCCCCCATCCCAGCAATGGGGAACATGTATGTTAATTTTAATCGTAGACACCATTTATCCACTGGTCATTGCAGACTGTCCATCTTGGAGGAATGGAGGGGAGTGAGAGACGAGGAGCTGACAAAGAAGTCCGGCATTCCCGGGTGTATCTTTGTCCATGCTGGTGGCTTCATCGGTGGCAACAAGACGTACGATGGCGTCCTGGAGATGGCCCGACGCTGTGTAAAACAGACGAGCAGCTGATGAAAGATCATCGCTCACTTCACTACATAAATCATGATATTCAATTCTGTTGCCTTGTGTTGTTTAGATTCAGTAAATGTTTTGGAGATTTCAGATATTGAAAATTGAAGTAAATCTATTTTTGCTAAGCCATGATAATGTGGAGATTCTGGGGCATTAACTTGTGTCTGTGTGGAGATCGGGGCAGAACCTGTTCCAAATACCCAATACTTGTGTCTCTGTGGAGATCGGGTCAGAACCGGTTCCAAATACCCAATACTTGTGTCTGTGGAGGTCGGGTCGGAACCGGTTCCAAATACCCAATACTTGTGTCTCTGTGGAGAACGGGTCAGAACCGGTTCCAAATACCCAATACTTGTGTCTCTGTGGAGATCGGGTCAGAACCGGTTCCAAATACCCAATACTTGTGTTCATGTAAGGGTTCTGAGGCAGAACGAATTCCAAATTTATCATGTATGCATGTGCATGTGTACAGCAATATATGACACTTGCCTTTGAAGAATGTCTGGACCAGGCCATCCAGTGAGTAATGACCCACGTTGTCAACCAGGTCACTGGGTCTGACTATCGAATGCATGCTAGTTGTAGACCCGTGAAGATCCAGCGTAGAATAGGTCTTCAGCAACCCTTGTAAGAGGCGACTAACGGGATCAGGTGGTTAGGCTCGCTGACTTGGTTGATGCATGTAACTGATCCCAATTGTGTGAATCGATGCTCATGAAGTCAATCACTGGATTGTCTGGTCCAGACTCGATTATTTACAGACCGCCGTCATATAGCTGGAATATTGCTGAGTGCGGCGTTAAACAACAAACAAAGGAAAAGAAAGTATCACAGCACAAAACTTGACTCCTCACAATGAAAACAAGACTTCATCTGTTTTTGTATACATTTATTTTGGCAAAACAAACACCACATTTCGTTACTGATGATCAGTACGACAAAGGAAATCTGCAGCTGACTCGTACATCTTGTCATCATGCAGGATCTACTCACCAGTGTCCACAAGACGAAAAACACCAAACAAGCTCTAGAAGAATTAGGAATTGTTATCCCCGTGGACCCTAGATAATGTGGAAGGTTGTTGCCATTAAGAGTCTGCTGAGCTAGGAAAATCTGGTATATTGATGACAAATGATTTTTTTGCAAATGTATGTATTTGGACAAATGGATTGATAGTAATGTACAAATTGTTTTACATGAACCCTGACTTCAAGTACAGATCGGTAAGTGTACATTGAATGTCCGTCACTTCCACTGTAACCCAAATGTTGCATTTATTTAATGATTTCCCAAAATATCTTTGCTGCAACAAATCCCCTGGCATGTCTGAGCAACCACCCTGATTTCCACATATTGACCCCACCCCACTCAATTCCCTGATTTCCACATATTGACCCACCCCACCCCTCTCCATTCCCCCGATTTCCACATATCGACTCCACCCCACCCCATACCACTTCCCCGATTTCCACATATTGACCCGACCCCACTCCATTTCCCCGATTTTCACATATCGACTCCACCCCACCCCACCCCACCCCATTTCCCCGATTTTCATGTATTGACCCAGCCCACCCTCGATTTCCATATGTCGAACTCACCCTCGATTTCCAACCAAACCTATATTCAGCCCTAATTTCAGCACCCTCAAACACATTTCCACCCCAATTTCTACCCCCTGAAATTTCCGCCCTTTAGGATATATGACTGATAACTGATAATCCGATGCGAGATCACAGGTAACTTCAGTTGACAATCTTCTCTCATAATTAATACGTTACCATGGCAATACAAGTTCCCACAAGGTGTACGAGACAGTTGCAAGAGACAAACAGGGATGAGATTCCAACATCAGTATCTGAAAACAACCACACCTACAGGAAATACTCCTAAACATTTATGACGTCGCATCACTCGTGTTTTCAGATATCGAACTGTGATCCCTATGCCCCGCTAGAATGAACAACAAGATAGACACTTCAAAATATACCAACACAGGACAAATATAGCACATGGGCAAACTGCAGATCTAGTCTCAAAACACACTTCACAGACACATTCTCTCTCTCACAACTCCAAACAAACCAACAGTATGTTAAATAGGTGCGATTGGTCAATTTTAGAGCCAGATAATATAAAATCTTGTTTGAGGATTGCTGCTGTTAGTTTCTATCTGTTTCGCAACAAATCATTTATGTAGCGGTATGAGCACTAAGCTCTGATTTTGGTGAGATTGCAACTATTTAATATGTTTAAGGATATTTTTCCATGATTGGTCCTGAACTATTATTTCAGTCCAAAAAGCGTTCTTACTGCTGCGGCATTTGTAATCTACAATTAACTACAGTCGTAGAGCTTAATGAGATAGCAACTATCGTTTGAAAAGTTAAAGGATATTTTTCCATGATTGGTCCTGAACTATTATTTCTTAACTACACATCCTGGGCCCCAGTCCATAAAGCTTTCGTACTGCTGCAGCATTCGTGAACCTACAATTGACTACAGTTACAATAGGTCGTAAGGCTGTGAATGCTCTGTGGACCGTGAGTCAGTATACCGACGAAGAAAATCTGTCACACTTAATAAAACTAGCACACGCACGCACCAAACACACAAATCATGAATTTTAGAGATGGTTTTACTGTATACAGTGGCAGACAATTTCTTGCATAACTAACATACATGCACACACTCATACATACATCATTCTCACATACTTGGAACATATTGTGGAGACCTCCGCCTGTATAATGCTCCAGGAGACTCAGATGGTCCACAGTTTGCTGAGACTTAGAGATGCTTGGTGATATGGAATATACAGATGCAGTGGCTGACATCAACACAAAGCAACACTGTAACAACCTGGGACACGTGCTCATCATATCATGGACGACAAAACATTTTCAAACAAATTGTTTGATAAACATGGATCATTATTGGAGGTATAGTTACCCAGCATCAAGTGGATCTATGCATCTTTTTCATGTCTATCTCGAACGGCAGTGTGGAAAAATGTGTTAATGCTGGACTTGAAATATTGAAATTTGTGGACCAGTTCCCCTCATAAAATCAAGGCTTACAGGCCCAGCTCTCATCACTAAATGCCCTCAAGGACAGTGTAGAGGAGGAACGATACACCAGTGCATCGTAAGTTTTCATGCGCTGTTATGATACATGATACATTTTTTTCTGTATCGATACAAGATGATACGCTTGCTAAACGACATTACTGCTCGTTGAACACCCCGCGCCACGGGCATTTTTGTCAGTCAAACATCGCAAAATGTGTTGTATTTAAGTTTCGTTTGAACCTGCTCTGAAATATTCATAGTCAAGACATTTCCACATGATCTGATGTAAATATGCATATCGCGATACATATCATATCGTGACCTTTTGATTGTGATGCGTATCATGTGGTGACGTTGCTGTATCGTTTCACCTCTAATGCAGCAATACTAAGAAACACATAGAAATACATGTTGTAGATTTACACCCCTCTTTCAGAAGCAGAATAAGACACAATATTCCCATGACATCATCTGTCACTATATTAATGAAGCTTCTGACATATCTCATTAAAATCTGATCTTTTACTCGGATCTGCAGACAGGTATCATGATATTGAAGAAAAAGATCTGATATTAATGAGATGGTCACGGGTAGTCTACACACTGCTTCATAAGTGTTACTTTCATGCACACTGCACCGTGACACGTGTCTACATAAATCACAAAGTGAAGTTGACAGAGTTCACATTCTAAGATAATCAACAAATAGTTTTAGTGTCTATAAGCAACCCTACTACATAATCCTATACACATAATATCAATAATGAGCTTCATAATCACTCTCGGCTGACCAGTGTACTAATTCTCCATTCTACAATAAATACCCAGGACCCATTTGCCACAGTTTACAGGAAATGATGCTACAAATAGACGTCCAATCAAAATCAAATACACTGTTGTTCCATTATTGAAATTGACCAGTAAATGACTTGACTCTTGCGGTCTCAAATACAACCATAATATCTTGTAGACAAAAGACCTCCCTTCATCTGTCTTAGTACCCTGGAAACATCTTTTCCCGCTAAAGTTCCTGTATCAGTTTTCTCATTCAACTAATATGTACATCCAGGGCTCGCTCGGACAAGGGTGATATTTTGAATGTAGGTTTATGACAAACCTCCCACGATTACAAGCTCATGAGTGAAAGAACTCCTGTGAGAGCGAGTGAGTGAGTATGGTTTAACGCCGCTTTTAGCATTATTCCAGCAATATCATGGCAGGGGACACCAGAAATGGTTTTCACACATTGTACCCATGTGGGGAATTGAACCCAGGTCTTTGTCGTGATGAGCAAATGCTTTAACCACTAGGCTACCCCACTGCCCCAAACTCATGTGTGAAGTTTGAGATAAGAGATGGTGTGTCACTTCCTAAACAAAACTATGGTGGCAAATGAGTGCAGGAAATATTTCACTATAGAATGGCTGTATTATACACTGAATGGTCAGGTAACACACCTGTTCCTGGTACAAGATATATTCAGTTCAACACCAAGATGTTTGTACAACATATTAAGGCTGGTTAATGTCACTGGAGGACACAAATTGTGTGATGTGTTGATTTACATATTTGGAACTTTCAAATGGACTCCCACAGAAATAATTATCTCCAGCTCTAAAACCCTACTCTTTTAAGTTACCTTAGTTACATTAACGTCTACAGGAATCATTTTTATACTAAATCTTTGTTACATGGTGTACAGCTAATTAAGGAAATTTTATTTTTATTTTTCATTTAATTCAAAACCATATTTTAGGTGGTTGAAATGAATAAAAAATGCAAAAAAAATCTCTTTTATTTGAAATATATAGGGTGAGAAAATACTACTACTTCAAGGAACATTCTGCCTTTCGTCTTTCTCTGAATAAGAAGAAAAAGTCCATTTTTTCCTGAAATTTGTTGACTCAAAAGTAAAAATAATTTTAAGTTTAATTTTAACATACATTTTCTGTGGATCTGTAAACCATGTAATATAAACAGTAATGCATGATTAATCTTAGCCAGTTCTGAGCCTCATTGGATGGTTAAGTCAATGAGACTTGAGGTGGTCAATAGGTGGAGCCATTGCTTGCACCAACAAGAAGCAATAATGTGCGGTGATATCACAACACTGTACACACAGAACATGACGTCTCTTCTACAAATAGTCACATGGCATAAAAATAGTAGATCATAGATGAATTAAATACAAAATGTGACATGATTAAAATCAACTGTACATAGAATTGGACTCCAAGTCTGATTCGTATATGAATACCACAAGTACATGATGGGTAAAAATCTAACATCTAATACATTCAGTCTTAGCTCCTCCAAACAACATGGAGTCATTCCTGAAATGAACAGTTAAACAATGTTTTTAAAGGTGTATAGCATGGACATATATTTATAGCCCTGTTAAAAATTATACATTGATGTTTTTTATTTCTAAACAAAGTAACAGCAAAATTATTTGAACAAAGAGGCAAATTGATGGTAGCTTCAGTTTTCAAAATTCTTCATATGAACAATGGCATGTCTGACTTGAAGACAAACAGTTTGCAAATACACAAGCATGAGGATGGTTTTAATCCAAAGCGATGGAAAATGCAGCATGAAATCTTCTCAACAGTTTGTCTCAAGATCATTTCTTCTAGAATGTCCTCCATTGGGGCTTTGACGTGATAACATGCCTCTGGAGGGATGATCGTTTTGACATGCAATAAATAATTTAAATGGATGTCATTTCAACACTTCAGTCTGGTCTTGGGTCGACATGCTGAACTTGTTCCCTGACACAACATTTTGAAGCAGCTTATCATGCTAACAAGGTCAAGGTCAGAATTCTCTGAATGTCAAGGTTATATAGTCTCCTTTGACCTCTAATGCCAAGTTGACAGTGACATGTTGCCCATTGCGTTCTCAGGTCAGTATGACTTTAACACACATAATAAGCTTGATGGATAACAGGCACTTTCAAAAGATAGATGTCTGAATGAAACATTATGAACTTAAGGCCAGTCACTAAGTAATTATGAAGGAATTTGTCTGACGTGGAATCTAATGCAGGATCACTAAGGGTTAATGGTACTTATAATCAAATGAGAATTTAATGGCAAAGTGAGGACATGAAGTCTAGTAAATGTATAAAATACATGACGATGAAAATTATAATTCAACATAACTAGATGGGACTATGGACAACAGCAGAGAAGAGGTGACATCGGCTGTACTTGGTGGTCTGGCCAAGAATCAATTCCCAGGCAGGTCACAGTAAAGCAGGTGCCCTTTTCACAACAAATCCATCGTCAATACTTCATGGGTTTGTGTACACTACGTCCCTCCATCCCCCGTGAATACGTTTAAAAAGCAATGGGGACATTTACAACACATGGACGTCAGATGAGCCCTACTACGATGAGCAGCAATTAGTTTCAACCCACTCCACCATTGCTTGACATTCCAACAGTGTGGGGAACAGGCAGCCACACTGTCAAGCAAGAGATATGTCTGTTTGTGTGATCTGAGATCAGTGTTCAGAGTGAGTGAGTGAGTATGGTTTTACGCCGCTTTTAGCAATATTCCAGCAATATCACAGCGGGGGACACAGGAAATGGGCTTCACACATTGTACCCATGTTGGGAATTGAACCCGGGTCTTCGAACGCTTTAACTGTCAGGCTGACCGACCGTCCCCCAGTGTTCAGAGGATTAATGTCCCCAACTCGCCATCTCCATGAGGCAAGGGAGGTAACTGACTGTAAAAGCCTAGTTTCCACCCTTGCCGAACTAGGCTGGAATTTCATGGCTCGATCGTAGCGCCATCATCGGCTATCCCGAGTTATGCCCTTCTATTTCCCTCCTAATCAGATTCCATTTGCATATCACTTGGATTTGCTTCAAACAAAAAGGTTTGTTGGTTAACACTGTTATCCAATGTACGTATTCACAGGGGGGAGAGAACCGTAGCACACAAACCCTGTAAGGCATTCACGATGCATAAGAACTGTATTCAACCTAATTAGCGCCCTGTGCATGAAGTAATGGGTTAGAAGAAACATGCTATGGTCTTGCTGCATGACAGTTCACATTGAGCTTATAAGAGCAGAGCGCTAAATGTGTCAACTACGGCAAATGATTCTCACAAAAGTTCTACGGTGGCAGGCTTTCTTCTGTTTTCCCAGACATTCCCCTTTATTATGTAACTAACACTAGAAATCACCTAGAAAAGTTTTCTCAAAGCTTCACAAATTTCATTCACAACCCATAAAGGTTTAGAACACGATAGGATTAATATCTCTACAAATAATGGAACCTATTGAAATATTTTTAACAATTTGTTCTGTTGCACGAACCTTCAATTTAATCGGAACAGGCTGATTGAAGAAATGGTTGGTAGATGTTTGACTGGTTTGATTTGGTTATTTCGGTATTGACTGGCCTTGCAATGGTCTTGAGTCTCTTCAAAGTGCCCTGTTAATTATCAAACGCGGAGAATCTCCAAACAGTTATTGTAACAAATAGCGATCCAGTCAGGCTGTGTTGAGGACCACTGAATCTGGTTTATCTCCCCTGATGATGTGTACGCTAGGATTGGGTCCTCGATGGCGCGCGGCATCTGCTGAATGTCCCATATTAGGGCTTGGTGATCATCAGCTGGAACAAAATAGTTTCAAACATTTAAAAGTTGACCAACACATATTATTTGATCATGATTTTTTATTTCAAATAAATACCTAGTCCTATTGTGGAAGTCACAGCTACATATTTTCTTCAAAGCATGATTGACAGAGTGAGTATTTTGTAAACTGCTTTTAACAATATTCGAGCTTCTCACACTGTATCCATGATGGGAATCGAACCTGCAATTTCTGTGTGAGGAGGCAACGCTTTCACCAGTAGACTGACTAATTGCCCTTAAAGTTTCATGAACCCTACATGTGTAATGATAAACATAATTAACACCGCTGCCTTAATTCTGTGGCTAACATCTTCCCGAGCAAGGGGAGATAAACCAGCCAAAATGTAATGGAATTTCAGCCTTGTTTGGCAAGGATGGAAACTGGACTTCTACAGTCAGTGAACTCCCTTGCCTTGGGAGGATGGTGGCTAATCACGGTTGTTGAAAATGATTGAAATCAAGCCTGGTATGACATGGCTTACCAGCAGTACAGATGTGACAGGAGGAATGTGGCGCCCAGGCAATACCATTGACACATGCACGGTGGTTGTTGAGTCGGGCGACCGGGGTGCAGGGGACGCGCACGTCCAGGATGATCACCTGCAACATGAACACGAGGTCACCTGATTACCAAACAGGAGACAAACAGCACAGAGTAACACCAGGTTAACATACACACAGTAAGGCCATAATAAATTAATTGCTAGATTATCATCCACCTTTTTTTCCAAAGTGCGGAGGGAGGCTTTCCATTTTGTATTTTCTATTAAAGTGGTCAAGCTTAAGACTGGACACCTTGGTTTGAACATTAGATGACTGAAATAACAAAGATAATGAAGAAACATTGGTTTCCATAGTAGCAGTCGAATGTCAAACCAATTTTCGTCTTCCCTGCCCCAACTTATACACAGTCCTCTGGCATCAGTCTTAAATGGTTTGCACACCCTCTTGTATTTTCAAAATAGGGAGCACCATCTTGACAGCTGACAGCAAGCAGACGAAAGGCAGGCACACACCGAGAGTCGGCTGTAGGCCAGTTTAAGCACGAAATGGCCATTTGACAGCTGAGTGCTCGGTAAAACAAAATTTATTTGTAGGGGGGGTTGGTTAAGTCATGAGTCAGAGAGGGATGATAATCTAGCAATTCAATTATTATGGCCTAACACATAGTAAACATACACACAATAAATACAAACAGTGAACACACACAGTGAGTGAGTTGAGACAAAAAACACAAACAATGAATCATACAGTAAATCCTCAAACAGTAAACACACCAACACAAGTGATCAAGTAACTGATGACACAAAAATGAGTACCTCGAAAGCATCCATGGCCATGGTAGCGAGATAGTTGGGGTCCTGCTTGTTCCAGGCGAGGCGCAGCAGGGGCACATGCTGAGGGTCTTCGTAGATGATAGTGGAGTGTTCGAGGTGGCGGAGGTCGAACATACGCACGGAGCCATCAGCACCTGCACAAAGGTTTTCCTTAATACAACTTTATCATCAAAACTTCATGTCATGGCCCTACTCACCAACACTAGTGTCCCCACCCCTTCCAGCCCTACTCACCAACACTGACAAACGTATCCCCACCCCCTACGGCCCTACTCACCAACACTGGCGTCCCCACCCCAAGCCCTACTCATCAACACTGGCGTCCCCACCCACTACGGCCCCACTCACCAACACTGGCGATACCATCTCCTCTGGCCCCACTCACTAACACTGGTGCCCCCCCCCCCCCCCCCACTCACTAACACTGGCAAACACGTCCCAAACCCCTACAGTCCCACTCACCAACATTGGTGTTCCCCCCGCCCCTCCGGCCCCTCTCACTAACACATGCAAACATGTCCCCACCCCCTATGGTCCTACACATCAACACTGGCATCCCCACCCCCTACGGCCCTACTCACCAACACTGGCGTCCCCACCCCCTACGGCCCTACTCACCAACACTGGCGTCCCCACCCCCTACGGCCCTACTCACCAACACTGGCATGTCCCCACCCCTTAAAACCCTACTCACCAACATTGGTGTTCCCACCCCCTATGGCCCTACTCACCAACACTGGTGCCCCCCCCCCTTTCCGGCCTCACTCACTAACACTGGCAAACAAGTCCCCACCCCTACTCACCAACACTGGTGCCCCCCCTTTCCGGCCCCACTCACTAACACTGGGAAACACGTCCCCACCCCCTCCAGCCCTACTCACCAACACTGACAAACGTATCCCCACCCCTTCCGACCCTACTCACCAACACTGGCAAACATGTCCCTGCCGCCTCCGGCCCGGCTGAAGGCGATGTCGTACACCTCCTTGTCGTGGGCTATCAGCTGTGTCTTGACATGCCCGGACACCATGTTGACCCTGCCGAGCACCTGGCCAGTCTGTCAGCAAAACAGTATCATTACCACCTGCACTGACAGGTCACTTCTAACATTAACACTCATCTGTATACACGGACATCACTTACAAACCCCCAGTGCCAGCATCCTACTGTTTATCCAGTCGGGTTGAATCTCATAAACAGTGATGTTATAATATCCTGGGGATTTTATTCATGAAACTTCTATTTAGATTGTAACATATGAAAGTTTCTTGCAAGAAATTTATTTTGGATTTTCACACAATGTAATGAAATGTCAAATCAAATGTTTTCTTTCTATTCCTGAGGATCACCACTAGGCTACAGAGGCGCTGATAAATCACAATGCTTTCGAGAAAGTCTTTTTGAAGTACCATACGCCAGCAACATATATTTTACGCCCGTTTCCTAAGGTTCATGGACATGATGGAAAGTATGTTTGAAACATAAAAATGTTGATAAATGTTGTTTCAAGTTTCCTTTTTTGGTTCAAAAGTAAGCGCCATACTTTACACTGCCAACTGTAAATGGTCAGTGTGCAAGGTATTTGGCTATCCTGTCTATGAAAAAGGTTGCCTACACTCCACAGGTAAGAGGACATACAAGTATCGTGATATGTATAGAATCATGAACAAGGTATTGTGATATGTATCGGATCGCACAGTTGGTGTATCATCCCAGCCCTAGTTAATTATCCTTCCCGCATCTGAGGTGTTGTCATGATTGTCCCACATCCCCCCTAGGTGCTGACACAGTGGTGTGTTCTTTGATGCTATACAGAGAGAAGACAATGTAGAACAATACGTCACCTCGAGACCCCAGATTGTGCAGGTTGTATCAATACTTGAGGTCCCCAGAAGATTGGGATCAACTTCATTCCAGTCGAAGGAGGTCAAGGGAGCACAAAAATCAGAATTTTTATTCTGAAAAGAAAAAAAATGACATTGATAACTTGCTTTCATGAAGGCTACGTACTCAGGGTTTCTGGTGGGTTTTATATCCTCTGGGCATTGGGAATAGCAACACAAATAAATACAACACATTACTCAATTTGTCAGTCAGTTTCGGGTTCATTACAATTATTTTGTTTTTGACCTTTCACCACCACACCAATGTCTTATACACAATATATGTTGACAACCGTGTCACGCTTTAAGACGATCGTCTTGTTCTTGAATATCAGCGTCAGTGGGACGTTAATGCCACTTTAGATGCCAAGATAACACAGACTGGTAAAACTGCCCCCCCAACAAAAGTGATCAATGGTGAATCTTTATGTGTCTCATTGATGTTTATGTTTAGACGGAAATCCCTGCATGTTATTTAACTTTCATAATACATCCACGATTATTTCTTGTCATCGATCACAACATTATTGCTAACTGACAGAACTGTAAACTTTTTCATTAAATTGTATGTTCATAATACTTATCCTATCTCACACTATGAATTTCTCCTTCTTTCCATCCTATGTGGAAGAATGCTGGAACAAAGTTTCCAGCTTTGAAGTCAATTCCCCCAAACGCATCCCAGTATCACCATGGTCACCACCCAAACAATTGGGTCACAGACTCTAATCGTTCTGCCATATCATTCTCTTTCTTAGAACTGACAGGCTAGAGATGGGATAAGTAATTAATGCACAATTTTTTAAACCTATCCTGTCTCACATTATCCATTTAACCCACGGCTGAACAGATCCCCAAAGTAGACTACAAGCACACGAGGAAGGTGGTGCTGAACAGTGAGTGAGTGAGTATTGTTTTAAGCCACTTTTAGCAATATTCCAGCAATATCACAGCGGGGGACACCAGAAATGGGCTTCACACATTGTACCCATGTCGGGAATCGAACCAAGGTGTTCGGCGTGATGAGCTAATGCATTCACCACTTGGCTACCCGACACAGTGGCACAACACAAACAAGTCATCATTCTGTCGCATGCTGTAAAGATAATGTCCATCCCTTTCTGTAGGTAAAGATGAGCATCAATATGATAGGATGGCCTCCTCAGCTACTACAAAATCATCACATGGGGGTGCGGGGAATGACATACGGCTCTCAGCTGAGGGGCAGGGAACGCTGGGGGACAGGGAACAGTGGGAGGGTTGGCAGCAGTAGTAGTTGCACCTGTAAAGGAGGTGCTGTCTCTGCCAGAACTGTACATATGTCTGTAGTTGTAGGTTGAGCAAATATCGGCATAGTAACCAGTGACAGCGGACAACTTAGTACGTCGTCTTCATCAACTGATAACACATGAGGTTGAATTACTACTGCCACTAAGATGGTCAATTCTTAAAACGATGATCCTTTGAATGATGAAGGTCTGTAGACGAGGTGCAAGATCGTTCCCGGCCATTCCGCCCCGTTGTAAGAGTTGAACATACTACATTGATCCCTGTTGATGTTGAATTGGTTGGAGTCATTTTAGACTGTTGTTTGTGATGGGGCGTTCTGGTCGTCAAGAACTTGAGTGAGTGAGTATGGTTTTAAGCCGCTTTTAGCAATATTCAACTTGATGCTGAGAGGGAGATGAGAGGCGATACTCGGCAAACGGATGGGGAGTGCTAGGAGGGTTGACAGTAGAGTCAGTAGTCGCTGGCATCAGTAATCTGTCCTCAGCCATGACTGAGCGGACTTCTGTGACTGCAGGCCACATACTGTACCCATGTGGGGAGATGAACCCGGGCCTTCACTTGGCTCCACCCCCAACACATTGGATCCAAAGAAGGAGTAATGCATAGTGTGAGATAGGAAAAGTTTAAAAATTGTATATGACAGGGGTCAGATAATGTTTATTACTCAAAAGGTTACCACATTTCTATTGGTCACATGGACCAAAAGCACTTCAACTTACTGTCCAAGCCATATTTTACAGGGTTTCGAAATTGACATAAGTCTGCTAGTCTGTGACAAGTACAATTCAGCAAGGACTAGTGAGATCTCCTTGTGGGCTACCACTTTACCATGAGGAAGATGGCAACTTTATAGCATATCATTTCAAAACTTAATTTCTAACAGGTCAACATCCAGTAGATACCAGAGAATGGAACTGTTGATCCTGTGCGACTAATATGGGGAAGGTATCCAACTCACATTATTGAGCAGACACTCCAGCCTCGTCTCTGTGTCACCAACTCTCCACACACGCAGATAGTCGCCACTGGTAGCCAGTAGGTCCGGGAAAACTCCTTTCTGTTGATCAAAAAAATATCTGTTACCATGGAAACCAAGTATCCCATTAACACTGAAAACACAAAATGTTTATCTCATAAATACTTTTGTACTGTAAATGTTTACAATATGCAACAGTGATCCACATCAGGTGTCTTCTGCAACTGGGTGTACAACTCACTGTGTCGGGAATCCACATCAGTTTGGTCGTCGGATATGGGTGGTCAAATGTGCTTTTGGATGAGAAGTCAGAAGTTTCTTCATCAAGAGATACAATCTGGACCTGGAGAAATATTAAATATTTCATTATGTTCATGCTTTGCTGATATGTTCATGGCGTGATGATTAACAATTATTTCATCCAGCAATCAATTATATGAGCTTGAGATGTAGTTTGACAGTGAACTCAATGCAATAACAATATCATTAACATAAATAGGGAAGAAAAGCCTATTTCTCTCTATTAAAGGTAGTAATGTTTAAAATCTTAAGCAAAGCATATAAGATTTATGCCTTATTGATCATGTTATAAGTTAAACAAAAATTATCCTGTGTATTTGCAACCTAAAACATTATCATGAATATCAAGATTATGAAAACGTGAATTGGCACGATTGGGAAATCAGGAAATTTTCAATGTGTGATATTTTCTGACATTTGGGGATAAAAATTGGCTACACATCTTACTAAATCCTTGTTGCCCAGCCTGCACTACTGCACAAGGGCAGGTTCTGTCTTCACATGCTCACAGGAAAGACACATACCTTATTGTTGTATTCTTCAACAAAACTGCCCAGGGCAAGTCTGAATCTCTTGTCTGGTCGAATACTCCAGTTCATGCTGTAGACTGTCCATGGTGCCTCATATTTGTAGATCTCCTTTCGTTTGGGCGCCCCTGGTGCCGACGGAATGCTCACCAGTTTATTCATTTTCTACTGTATACCCAACCCTGCAAAGATGAGGAGAAAGATGCAGATAGCAAGTTCTAAATTTATGATGTTTTCATGATTTAGTCAACATGATCAACTTTTAACATGCTTGATAGACATTCTTCACTACATATACTCCATGTACATGTAAACATAGCTCTTTAATATTACTACAGCAGTAGTATAGGACCTATACTAAAACAGGTAATCGATATGAAAGAATCTGGTGTTCTTTAACTTCTTTTGAGCAGTATATAATATAACCATGATAACCAAATTTGACAAATTAACGTGATCTGAGACCCTGGGTTTTAAGCTGCTTTTAGTGATAGTGACACAGGAAAATGGATAGACACGTTAAACCCATGTTAGGGACATGGTGTGACAAAACAAATTCTTTCACAATCTCATTACAAACAATTTGTCACATGAGCATCCTTCAATGTCACCAGTTATACCTCATTGGAAGTAAAATCAATGTTTTTGGCCATGTGTGGGAGAATTACAAAATAGACTGTCTTATCAGAAACAAATCATTACAATAATCAGAGCAAACCGAGGCCAAAGTGTACATTCATCTAATAACTTCAATGATTTGCCGTCTGTGAATCGTGCGCTATTTTATCAGGAGGTCTTGAAACATGCACTGCAGGCGCTTGTTTCTACTTTTAAAATGTCACCAGCTCCGTTTGTTTACAAATGAAATTTGGACAATTATTACCCAAATCCACCTACTATAATAAACATATAATACATTAATAACAGTAACGTAAAATCGATGATAGAATGGTGGTCTATTTTGCAAATTATAGTGGTGAGAAAACAAGTAATGCATTATTTACCAAGACACTGTCAATAAATTTCCCGCATCTAACAAAAACAATATGGCGAACCCATAAACGAGCCAGTTTGCGGTAAAAGTACGACAACGAGCTTCTCAATGCATTGTCGCGTACAGTTAAAATTCGCTTGTTGTGCTCATAAATAGTACATCGTTTAAATTGGAAACCATAATTCGGAAATTTTGAGAAATGAATGAATAAATTATTTACGACAACCGCAAGTGAAACGTGTAGCATCGCGCGAGATGATGTCGATTTCAGCGGGAAAACAAAGTATTCCGATGCCCTAGTTTGTTTGTAAATAACTTCAGCATAATGAGTGACACCGAAGAAAAGCCTGCAATGGAAGTCAAACCAGAAGATGTTTTTAAAAATGTCACATACTACCTTGTTGGAGACATACATGAGAACGTAAGAATGCTCAAGTCCCTTTCACATTTCGCAACAAAGACTGAACAAGTGTCAATCTTGACAGCACAGCACACATTTTGTTGATGCATTAAATGTGTATTTCACTGGTCGAATAATATATGAAGATTTCGCGTTTATATACATTTTAATTTATGCAATACTCCCTCCTCAGTTGTAGCCGTCTGGTAAAATCCAAACATATTCCCAGCTGAAGCATGACACCGGTGTGGCAATGGTTTCATAGCTTGACTTATGCTTTCGTTCACCTACTTACATTGTAATAAGATTGTTGACGGAAATATGTACCAACCTATGTACCTGTCAGTTAATAAAATAATGGAGTCAACCTGTCTAAAACCTAAAGATCTGAGGTATTTCATATAGCTTCCTATGTAAGGTCAAATTCCAAAGATGGGATTTCTACCATCTCAATACACTCTGCCTTTGATATTGAATTTACAATAACAACCTGCAGTATGCTCAGAAATGACATGGGACAGTTGGAAATATTTTACAAATCAAAACTGCCATGATTGTCACCTTTTGACAACCCTCATATATTCGCCATGTTAACCAGAAGGGGTCCATGACTGGATACTTAAGCATATGTTCTATATGATCTAAAGAGCTGGTCATTTCATTTTAAACCATTAATAAAATGAGTTTCTCTCATTAGAATGTTTGGTTTCTTACCCAAGTTGTTTTCTTCTATGACCGCCAGGTGGTGAAGCAGCTGGATGATGGTGGCGCCAAACTGGACAGTTACCTCAGTGAGATGGTCAGTCATGTCATCGCTGATGACATTGAAGCCGATGAATGTGCTGAAGCTAAAGACTTGTTTGAGCTTCCCATTGTATCCGTGAGTATCTACGCAAGGCTTGAGTTATTTCAGCAGCTCCCAAAACTTTATCGACATTTTTACTTTTTGTCACATAGGACTGCATAAATAGTTGAGATATGTGTTTTCTAGTTCATTCCGCCATGGATGGCATAGTGGTGAGGAGCTAGTTCATTGTGCCACAACTTAATGTGCAGAGTTGTGTCCCTTAGATTGTTGGTAAGTATGGTGTTGTTCTGTCAGCACCTGTGGACTTCTCTGAAGTGGAGAGCGTGTTCCCAGTTGGACATCTTGTACCAGTCCATGTCACTATTGCAGTGTCCAACCCAGGCCGCGCGATTGCGCGATTCACGCTAAAAAAAAAAAATCGCCCCTCATAAAAAAATCAAAGCACGATCTGTCGCGCACAGTAATTTCTTGTACAGTCACTTACTTTATCAGCTGTTTATCCCTACCTTTAGATTCAATACTCACTATATCTTTAATCAATTAACGAAGAAAGACAGTTCACAGCAAACATTGTAAACAACTGTCGAAGACCGATCGATAACAACCGGAAGTTAGCACATGAGTGACGTCCCTTGGGTTGCTGAATAAATTATCGACAGGATTGGCATAGGAAATGAAATTTGACTTACTTTAGTAGAAAATGTATCAAAATTATGTTGTATTTTGTTGTTTAGTAAACAAAAACCTTTGACAAGATGTTTAAAGACAATAAATATTCTATCTTGAATAGTTCTGAAAATATTTTTGAGTATTGTAGTTCATTTTAGTTACGTTTCTGAAATCACACAATATGAATGGCCGACTGTCATAGCAGACGATCTTTTGAATAGTGAATGACCATGTCGTGCAAAAACAAAAGAATTACAGACTTTTTTAATCAAAATAGAAAAAAGCACAAAGCATTGTTATTCATTTCAGTTCTTTATTCTGATCTGTTACACTATTATATGATGATGTTCCAGTACATAATACAAAATAAGACATTTTTGAAGAAAGCAATTATCCCCCCTACTTTTTCAAAATCACTCCTATTTTCTACATGATGGGGGGACAAGTCCCCCCTTGATTTTCAATTCTGGGTTGGAAATTGCTATTGTGAATGTATTAATTTTAGGAACAACAAACACTGGAAGTGCTTGTGACCTACAGCTCTTGGGAATTGCCTTCCACTATGCTGAAACATCTTTTTTATTGTTTGTTATTTAACGCCACACTCAGATATAATCCAGCTATATGACAGCTGTCTGTAACCAAACGAGTCTGGGCCAGACAATCCAGGGATTGACATTATGAGCAGTGATCTACACATTTGGGATACAATGACATGCATCAACCAAGTCAGCGAGTCTAACCACCCGATCCCATTAGTCGCCTTTTACGACAAGCATGGGTTGCTGAAGACTTATTCTACCCCGGATCTTCACAGGTTAATAATTTCCTAAACAAACACAGAATCAAAGTGTTTGATTAAACCCAAAGTGGCATTAAACCCAACTCAAAGTGGCATTAAACCCAACTCAAAGTAGCATTAAACCCAACTCAGTGTGGCAGATAGTAATCTCTATGTCTTTACAGACAAGATGTATACTCACCGTCAAAAGATACGCGAGTACGATACGTGTTAGTTATAGAAGTAATCTGAAGAATAATTGATATTCTGAAGATATTAGATTGGTTCGGTGCACAAACGAACATACTGTTATGTTGTGTGAAACGACGCTCACAAGCGCATTACATGTGATGTCATAGATCCGTGACTCCAGATTCACCATTTGTGTCGTTCAGGATTAGCGTGTAAAGTTTGGAAATCATGTGCAACATATCATGATAAGAATAAATACACTCTGTGGTAACACTTGACTGATTGTTAGTTTTGTCATTTTAAGTAGTACACGCTGGAAACGTGTCTTCTTAACGTACAACATTCTCTTTATGTTTCTATAGTTCGCGTTTCTTTTGGCGGTGAGTATATTATGATGTTGAGCCTTGACTTGGAACACTTTCTTTCAGTGAGTGACAATACTGACAATGACATGGAGTTAGACTTATACCTGGATTTGGGAGTCCTTGTTCATTTTGGCTTCTGTGTTTGCCCCCCACTTCACAACATGGCTGTGACCAGGATAACAAGGACAGCAGTTTCATCTTTCTTCCGTTTGTTTTGTTTCAGAGTGCCTGGGTTGGACTCTCTGTTAAATGCAAGAAGCAGCTGCCGTATCCTTCACCTTCATTTACAAGTCTTCAATTTTGATTGGGGATTATCAGAATGTTTTTGTATGTAAAAGTGTTAGCACAAGGATATCATGTGGTGTATGTAAAAGTATCAGCACAAGGATATCATGTGGTGTATGTAAAAGTGTTAGCACAAGGATATGTGGTGTGTGTAAAAGTGTCAGCACAAGGATATCATGTGGTGTATGTAAAAGTGTCAGCACAAGGATATCATTTGGTGTATGTGAAAGTGTCAGCACAAGGATATCATTTGGTGTATGTAAAAGTGTCAGCACAAGGATATCATGTGGTGTATGTAAAAGTGTCAGCACAAGGATATTCTGTGGTGTGTGTAAAAGTATCAGCACAAGGATATCATGTAGTGTATGTAAAAGTGTCAGCACAAGGATATCATGTGGTGTATGTAAAAGTATCAGCCCAAGGATATCATGTGGTGTGTGTAAAAGTATCAGCACAAGGATATCATGTAGTGTATGTAAAAGTGTCAGCACAAGGATATCATGTGGTGTATGTAAAAGTATCAGCCCAAGGATATCATGTGGTGTATGTAAAAGTATCAGCACAAGGATATCATGTAGTGTATGTAAAAGTGTCAGCACAAGGATATCATTTGGTGTATGTAAAAGTGTCAGCACAAGGATATTCTGTGGTGTGTGTAAAAGTATCAGCACAAGGATATCATGTAGTGTATGTAAAAGTGTCAGCACAAGGATATCATGTGGTGTATGTAAAAGTATCAGCCCAAGGATATCATGTGGTGTATGTAAAAGTGTCAGCACAAGGATATTCTGTGGTGTATGTAAAAGTATCAGCACAAGGATATTCTGTGGTGTGTGTAAAAGTGTCAGCCCAAGGATATCATGTGGTGTATGTAAAAGTATCAGCCCAAGGATATCATGTGGTGTATGTAAAAGTGTCAGCACAAGGATATCATGTGGTGTGTGTAAAAGTATCAGCACAAGGATATCATGTAGTGTATGTAAAAGTGTCAGCACAAGGATATCATGTGGTGTATGTAAAAGTATCAGCCCAAGGATATCATGTGGTGTGTGTAAAAGTATCAGCACAAGGATATCATGTAGTGTATGTAAAAGTGTCAGCACAAGGATATCATTTGGTGTATGTAAAAGTGTCAGCACAAGGATATTCTGTGGTGTGTGTAAAAGTATCAGCACAAGGATATCATGTAGTGTATGTAAAAGTGTCAGCACAAGGATATCATGTAGTGTATGTAAAAGTATCAGCCCAAGGATATCATGTGGTGTATGTAACAGTGTCAGCACAAGGATATTCTGTGGTGTATGTAAAAGTATCAGCACAAGGATATTCTGTGGTGTATGTAAAAGTGTCAGCACAAGGATATCATGTGGTGTGTGTAAAAGTATCAGCCCAAGGATATCATGTGGTGTGTGTAAAAGTATCAGCACAAGGATATCATGTGGTGTATGTAAAAGTGTCAGCACAAGGATATGTGGTGTATGTAAAAGTATCAGCCCAAGGATATCATGTGGTGTGTGTAAAAGTATCAGCACAAGGATATCATGTAGTGTATGTAAAAGTGTCAGCACAAGGATATCATTTGGTGTATGTAAAAGTGTCAGCACAAGGATATTCTGTGGTGTATGTAAAAGTGTCAGCACAAGGATATGTGGTGTATGTAAAAGTATCAGCCCAAGGATATCATGTGGTGTGTGTAAAAGTATCAGCACAAGGATATCATGTAGTGTATGTAAAAGTGTCAGCACAAGGATATCATTTGGTGTATGTAAAAGTGTCAGCACAAGGATATTCTGTGGTGTGTGTAAAAGTATCAGCACAAGGATATCATGTAGTGTATGTAAAAGTGTCAGCCCAAGGATATCATGTGGTGTATGTAAAAGTATCAGCCCAAGGATATCATGTGGTGTATGTAAAAGTGTCAGCACAAGGATATCATGTAGTGCATGTGAAAGTGTTAGCACAAGGATATCATGTGGTGTATGTAAACGTGTCGGCACAAGGATATCATGTGGTGTATGTAAAAGTGTCAGCATAAGGATATCATGTGGTGTATGTAAAAGTGTCGGCACAAGGATATTATGTTGTGTATGTAAAAGTGTCGGCACAAGGATATTATGTTGTGTGTGTAAAAGTGTCAGCACAAGGATATTCTGTGGTGTATGTAAAAGTGTCGGCACAAGGATATTATGTTGTGTATGTAAAAGTGTCGGCACAAGGATATTATGTTGTGTATGTAAAAGTGTTAGCACAAGGATATATGGTGTATGTAAAAGTGTCAGCACAAGGATATCATGTGGTGTATGTTTTTTCAGCTCCAGTGGTTCACAAATCATTAACAAAATACTTTTTGTGTTGACATGGTTAACCTTTGTTAACTGCTCTCTTAGAGTACTGTGTATTTCCAGCTGCAACATAATGTTCACTGTTTTACTGATCCATTTCTTATTACAAAGCTTGAAGAACATCTCTCATACATCAGATCCATTTCTTATTGCAAAGCTTGAAGAATATCTCATACATCAGTGTTGACATAATTCAATATTCATTCTGATTTAAAAATTCTGCAACAATGAATGTGAACATATCAGTATTGTTTTAGTTCCAGATATAAAAGTTGACATTCTGCTTACCTGCATCTATCAATTAAAAGTGTTTCTTTGAGAACATCCTTTGTGATTCTCCTTGCACTGCACAAAATGATTTATGCTTGATTATGCACTAATTCTGTCTCAAAGATCTCTTTGATGCACTCTCAAGAAATACAAGAGCAACCCCAAAGTAAACCAAACGACAGATTGATTCAGTAATGGATTGTATCACAGGTGGTACTATAGTGTTCAGTAAACCTACAAGAACTTACTTGACTTTTGGTCCAAACTTGTCAAAGGGAGATAATCTGAAAGATTTGATCTGTGTTAAAATTATGTCCCTTTATGTTAAAAAATGGAGGCAAGTGACAAGAGTCTTAATCAGAGAGAATTGTATTCCCTTTTAACACTGATGTGATGCTTTTTCCTGAACCGCTCGCAGAAAGGAAATATTCTCCCTGGAGGGACTTGTCTTCTCGGGGGTGGTTGTCTGTGTGTCACAGGTGAGTGCATTAAACTCAAGCTTCACTAGCCCAGGTAAAGACTAAATGACCCTGTAATGTTAAAGCAATGGGGAGATTGGGAAATTTGTACTAGCCCACGGGAATTTGTACTAGCCCTGGGCTAGTGTTAAGTTCTAACCCTGCATTTTGGCTTGACAATTTCTATTGTTACCGTTTGGCTGTCTTTTATCAGTTATTTTATCAGTTATTTTGTCCTGAATCTGGTATATTATTTTTATGTCTGTACATGCAGATGGGTCACGTCCCCACAGTGTCTGAAATAACTTCCCACCTGCGTCTGGTGACTTTTCTATCGAGCTGCATGAAATTGGCCTCCACCTGCCCGACTGTCTGGAATTAAATTTTAAGACTGCTTGCTCACTCAGTCATATTACATCTCCTCGTAGTTTCTCAAGTAATTGTTTGCATTATTTTAACTGAATCAAGACGCGATTTGTCTCTTTTTTAGTGATATATCTCATACTGTCGTTGGCGGATGAATGGAAGTAACTATGCTTTCATTGGTCAGTCTAGTCTTAATTTGAGTGAATTGGGATTGATATTAAGACACATAATCGGTAATTCTTCTTACGGGGTCGAAAACACAGTACACAAGGATACATTTAAATTCAGTATTGTTGGTAACTTTGAAGATGGGCATGCAACATTTATGGGTCACTGTCCAGCTGTCTTGGGTTTTAAAATTATTTCGAACTTTGCTTCCCCACCCACTTCATGTTGACACCTTTCTATTTTGAACTTTTTATATTGTCGGAACATTTTAGGATTTTACATCATCTTGGTAAAATACTCCCGAAAAGACCATGTAACATAGCAACACATTATTTCCGTGGACTTCTGCCAGTTAAACTGATCGTCTATTGTTTGGATGTTACAGTTGGATGAAGAGGACCGGAAGTCTGTGTGGAGCATGGTGACGTATTATGGTGGCAGATGCCAGACGCGGCTGGACAAACATGTCACCCATCTCATCACCTTCACCACCGAGGGGGTAAGGTCCAACTACAACAATCATTTCTTTGCCAAACTGGAAAGACACATCGACGGCAAGCCTCACCTAATGTTACAAACTGTGGCTGGTCAAATTGTCTGAATGTGCACCTAGTAGAGACTTACTTTCATGTTTACGTAATTGTAGTTCCATGTACATATCAGTGTTTGAATTAAGCCTGTCCTTGTCAATGTTTAAAGTTAAGAATTTAGGATCCTAGATACTAAACACACATGAAAGGACTCCAGGACAGTTTCTTGATTTTGAACTGTGCAGATATATGTTCTGTATACACATTTTCAGCCTGTTAGTTAAAATTTTAAAACTTATCCTATCTCACGCTATGCACTTCTCCTTCTTCTTTCGATCTTGGTGTGGAAACGTCCTAGAACAAAGTGTTCAGCTTCAAAAACACTTCTCCTGAACACATCCCAGCATCACCATGGTCACTACCTAAACAAGGGGTCATGCACCATCGCAACCTGACCCTATGCGACCTGATCACCTGACATACCCTGCCTCTTCTTTCATTCTCTTTCTCACTTTCTCATCGCCACGGTTTCGGGACATGTTTGAGTTGACAGAGAATAATCAGTATAACTTCCTTGGACTACTACAACATATGAGACAGTTTAATATGGAGAAACACATGTTTGCAAAACATGTAATCTTACATTTTGAACAGTAGACTCCAACTGCTGTGTATGCGTCTCTAGGAGTAAGGAGGGCGGTCGGGTAGCCTAGTGGTTAAAGTGTTCGCTCGTTAGCCGAAGACCTGAGTTCGATTCCCGAAATGGGTACAATGTGTGAAGCCCATTTCTGGTGTCCCCAGCTGTGATATTGTTGGAATATTGCTAAAAGCGTCGTAAAACCATACTCACTCACTCTCTCCTGGAGGAAGGATTTCCCTACTATTTTCTCTTATGTCAGAAGCACAACACAGATTGTCGATCGAAGTCATTATCCAAGATACAAGGCTTGCACCATCAGCTACTTATACAGTGATTGACATCATGAGCATCAATCTACACTTTGGGATATGGTGACAGGCATCAACCAAGTCGGGGAGCCTGACCCCACGGGCTCGATTCTTCACCGGTCTGGTAATGGCCGACAACGCCCAGGTCAATACCTCCCTGCCAGCCACGGATCGTCTTACAGTGCGAACCCAAGAGAGGTCAGCATTTCAGGCTGTGTTCTTCAAGACTAACCAGCCAAGCAACATCCCCAATCCCTCAGCAGAGGGTCGACTTTTGTTCCCCGTATCCAATGGGGATGAAGAGTGTGAGGATGACTCTCAGGGACGCTTACCGGCGACTAAGAAATCAGGAACCACAGAATTCTCACCACTAATACTTTTCTGTATTTACTCAATTATGCTCAGAATGATTTGTGCTCCTTCTGTCACAATGAAAAGGAAACAATTACTCACTTGTTTTGGGAATGTGATGTAATAAAACAATTTTGGGATGAAGTGTCATTGTGGATCGACCAGTGCTTTCATGGTTATAATATGACATTTTGTGCAGAATTGATACTTTTTGGAGTTAAAGAGAACATAAAAACAGATAAAGTGTTTGATTACTTTTACTAATTGCAAAATACTATATTTATAGATGCAAATTCCAAAATACAAAACCTTATTTTCATGTTTATAAAAAGGAAGCTTTTTCACGATACAACATTGAAAAAGATATTGCTTTCAAGACAGGTAATCAACAGAAATTCTATGGTGCTTGGATGCTGTATCATCAACTTTTCGAAAATGAGGAGCAGCTTTCAATTTAATTTTAGTTTTGTTCTTAAGAATTTAATGTTTGAGACCATGTACTTTCCTAAACTGCAATATGATATATAAACAAGAGTGAATGTGTGAGTGAGAAGTATGTTATTTTCTGTAAAAAAAACAACAAAGTAGGATGTACTGATAAGTTGTGCTTTATGTCATGGGCTTTCTGCTACCCTGGGCGGAAGCCCATTTATGTAACAGGTGCGTCTTTCTAAAAACAATAAAAGGAAAAAAAAAGAAAGAAAAAAAAGGAAATCAGGAACGCACAATCACTTCCTCTCCAGACCAACATTGACAGGTGGCTCGACATCACCGAGCACAAGCAGAATGACTATGGGATCAACATCATAGTATGGATCAACATAGATTCCTTTCTCCAGCGGATCGATATTGACATCCAGGCTTCTCGAGGACGTTACGCCTCACCTGAGGATCGACATCCAGATCAACTTCCTTATCCTTTGTCTATGAATTGACAGTCAGATTGACATCGACCTGAGTAGCAACAACAAGACACTTCGTCAGAATGACAAAGGGATCCACATCAATACCCCTCTCATAGGGTCGACATCAAGATCAACATTGATGCGCTTTCCAGTTGATTGCCATCGATTTATTGCAATCGTCATCATCGCCCTTGTTCGTAGCTTCTATTGGTTCGGAGACGTTATGACAGACTTCACTGCTCCATCTTCCCGAGGCAAGGGAGTTAACTGACATCAAAAGTCAAGGTTCCACCCTTGCCGAACTAGGCTGAAATAACTGGGCTCGATCGTAGCGCCACCAGTGGCTTTTACCAGTTATGTCCCTTCTAAGCCTCTCCTATGGACCAATCAGATTCCACCACTCATATCACTTGCGTTTGCTTCACACAAAATGGTGGTGCCCAATCAGGACGATCTGATTGATAATCAAGATGTATATTGTGATAAAACTGGTCTTACATCGTGAAATGCATCAAATCACGTGAGCACCTTGATTAAAAACATGAACAGATTTAGAAAATATCTGAAGAAGAAATGCATAGTCTGAGATAAGATAAATATATCAATATACAATCTATTGTAAAATGTTCAAATTTTGTCCAATAAATGCAGTGATTTGGCTGGAAACAAATGGCATTTTCAGGAGTTTATCAAATTTTAGACAGTTTGGAATAAAATCAGTCAGTATCTGAAAACATGATCTCATGGTAAACCTTTCTTCATCAAGGTGGAGGTTCATTTGCACACATTTACTTTGTGTTTCAGAAAAAGTACACAGAAGCTATGGAGAGAGTGGACAAGATCAAGATCGTATGTCCAGACTGGGTGATTGACAGTATTAAGGAGAACAAGAAAGTAGATGAAAGCATTTACCACCCTAGACTGATAGAATATCCCAAACCAGAATCCCCACCCAAACCAAAGACACCAGAAACAGAAATCCTGACTCCGACGAGGAACCTGGCCATCAGTCCGGGGCCGGGGCAGCAACTTGCACAACAGATTGCTGCTGGGCTCCGACGCAAATCTTCCTCCGATGAAATGCCCCGAAATGGAAGCCGACCAGGAACGCCAAGCAGCTCCAGTGCGAAGGAAGCGTTAGCTCGGATGGTGAACAGCCGATTACAGCAGTCGCGGGTGGGAGACAGTCCCGAGGCCCGCCCGGCACCCCCCAGTCCCCTGTTTCCTCACGCACACCCGTCTCTATCGCCAGGGCAGCATCCCATCGCCCCCCAGATGACCCTGGGGCAGCCCCCCGCTCTCAACCCTCAGATGATGACCTTCAACCCTCTACAAGACCCCAGCTTGGGCAGCAGGACACTGAGGAACATCACTAACAACGCAGAACAAGCTCAGCAGGGGCTCCGACCAGGGATGAACAAGGTGAGACATTCGGTCACAAATATTTTGGCGGTATTGAGATGAGGTCTGTCATGTTACTTTTCTGGAAGATAGCTCAAAAGTATTTCTTTTGTGAATCTTTGTCACAAACTGCTAGATTGCTTTAGCTATTCAGGATGTGAACATATATTTTTTGCGTTTCCAGGGCAGCATGTTCACATGAGGAGGGTGTGTTTCCAATGCTAAAATCATTAACCTTTCATTATTTCTGCTTGAAGCTCCTGTCAAGACAATTGTTGTGGGTTTGTGGGTGACTTGTCTTCTTGTCTCCTAATTCTCACCAGGGTTGATTGAAACTGAGAACTTGATAGTATTTATATGAAAGTAGCAAAGTTGATGTTACACATAAAAAAATGTTGTGTTTCAGATCCACCAGATGTTCAACATGCCCCGCCACGCCAGACCTCCGCCTCCGTATCCCATACCTCCCCATGCACTGCAGGTGCTGCCTCAGTTCTGGGGTCACGACCCTGCAGACAACAGTAAGTTCGTCTATATTAAGCGTTGTCTTAGATTATTAGGCCAAGGTGGAGAGTTGTCTCCCTTGCCATGCACTTGATAATTCACCCTGCGTGCCCCGGTCATGCTTCAAGGTTTGTCAGCACCATACCTGTTTGTTTTTGTAAACTTGTAAACGTCTACAACCTGCATCACTTCTGCCGTTCCTCCAACATGAAGCAGGGGTAGCGTGATTAAAGCGTTCACTCATCAGGCTGAAGACCTGGGTTCGATTCCCCACATAAGCACAATGTGTGAAGCCCATTTCTGGTGTTCCCTGTCGCAATATTTCTATAATATTGCTAAAAGTGGTGTTAAACTATACACTCACTCACTCACTCACTCACTCACTCACTCACTCACTCACTCACTCACTTCAACATGAAGCTGATGCATGATAAACAGTTATTTTAAATTTTTGTGAATTTAATATTTGGTCATAGAAATATTTGTGTGAGCCATTTCTGTAGATTTCTCATCGCAGGTGTAAACAGTTGAATGCATACTTATAGGATGCCATAAAAGAAACTTTACCGTTACTTTTAGGATGTTGATGTCTTTGTTTCAATTTATCAGTGAACATGTGGAAATTGATTGTATTGCAGTTCCCCCGGACATGTGCCTGCTCGGGTGTGTGTTCTACGTCACCGACTACCAGGCTATCCTGGGACAGGAGGAGATTACCACATGGAAGCAGGTAGACAACGTGTATAAGAGGGGATGGGGTAGCTGACACAGCGTTCGCTCAACATGTCGAAGGCTGAGTTCCACTCCCAACATGGGTACAATGTGTGAAGCCATTTCCTGTGATATTGCTGAAATTTGCTAACAGTGACCCAAATTGACATGGAGCCAACATCAGTCAAGCCAGAGGTGGCCCAGTAGTCAGTTGCTGTAGCTCACCTTACCTCATAGTCATGCCAGGATATGCTTATCATGGTTCTCAAATGTGGAGGTAAACATGTGTTTTCAGATTTGCGTGTGTTATTTCCCTGCCCAGAAATTTGAATATCCAAATGTGGTTTCTGGGTATCGAATTCTAAGTAACACTCGCATATCTGAAAACAAGGCATGTTTGTGTTGAGAAGAAGAGATGGTCATCAAAGTATGCAGTGAAAAGGCTGAATAATTTTGCCAGGTGATCGAGCAGTATAGCTGCCAGATAGACTCCCCCTATTTGTCTGGAGAGTTGATGATTGTGTGTGTTTGCCAGGTGATCAAGCAGTATAGCTGCCAGGTAGATTCTCACTATTTGTTTGGAGAGTTGATGATGTTGTGTGTGTTTGCCAGGTGATCGAGCAGTATAGCTGCCAGGTAGATTCTCACTATTTGTTTGGAGAGTTGATGATGTTGTGTGTGTTTGCCAGGTGATCGAGCAGTATAGCTGCCAGGTAGATTCACACTATTTGTTTGGAGAGTTGATGATGTTGTGTGTGTTTGCCAGGTGATCAAGCAGTATAGCTGCCAGGTAGATTCACACTATTTGTCTGGAGAGTTGATGATGTGTGTGTGTGCCAGGTGATCGAGCAGTATGGTGGCCAGGTAGACTCCCCCTATTTCTTTGGAGAGTTGATGATGTTGTGTGTGTTTGCCAGGTGATCAAGCAGTATAGCTGCCAGGTAGATTCACACTATTTGTCTGGAGAGTTGATGATGTTGTTTGTTTGCCAGGTGATCAAGCAGTATAGCTGCCAGGTAGACTCCCCCTATTTGTCTGGAGAGTTGATGATGTTGTTTGTTTGCCAGGTGATCAAGCAGTATTGCTGCCAGGTAGATTCACACTATTTGTCTGGAGAGTTGATGATGTTGTGTGTTTGCCAGGTGATCAAGCAGTATAGCTGCCAGGTAGACTCCCCCTATTTGTCTGGAGAGTTGATGATGTTGTGTGTGTTTGCCAGGTGATCAAGCAGTATAGCTGCCAGGTAGACTCCCCCTATTTGTCTGGAGAGTTGATGATGTTGTTTGTTTGCCAGGTTATCGAGCAGTATGGTGGCCAGGTAGACTCGTCGTACTCCAGTCGCGTCACCCATCTTCTCTGTGCCACACAGTACAGCGATGTCTTTCAGCTGGTAACTACTACCTCATATATGGCTATTGATCAAATCTGCTTGGTTCTCAATACATCAGCAACAGTAGAAATACTTCATTTCATTTCTATAGAAGAGAATTAATGGTCTGTAAGGACTACCTTTATTGTATTTTTACTTTCTCCCAGCGCAATATATTACTAGACACTAGTGTAAATTTGAAGTCTGATTGTCCACCCTTTATTCTGACTTTCCATGTGAGATGGCATTTTGTGAAGGAACAGCTATATGCAATGTAAGGAATGAAATATTGAATTAATTTGGGATTATCTCCCTTGGTCACCAGGCCCTGAAGGACCAGAAACGGGTGGTGACGGCATTCTGGCTCAATGACTGTCTCCTCCAGAAGAAGCTGCTACCTCCCTGGCAGGGGCTCCACATCCCCCAGGTGTACCGAGACCAGAAGCCCTGCAGCAACCAGGTACCCACCCTTAGTTAGCATCAAGTGGGGTAGGGGGGGAATCCTGTATGGGTTGAGGGGGGTGGAAGGGGGAGAGGGAATCCAGGATGGAATCGATGTGGACCCAGCCACCTGGATCGACTGGTCAGACTCGGTGACATGTCATTGTAATCTGATTGAGTGGATTTGCTCATAATATAATATGAATCACTGGATTGTCTGGTCATAGATGGTGTGGATTGAGTCAGTTATTGACAGGCTGCAGCCATATGCTGGAATATTGCAACACGTGTCTTGATAGTAAGGTAAAGTGGGCTGCGTGGGACACCGAACCTGCCATGCTTGGTGCAAGGGAATGAGTAGATGACCAATAAAAACAAATTTATTAGATTTGAGTTAACTGATGAAAAAGTTTCAAAATTACAATTAGTGTCCTCTCTGAATATACTGGTATTGTGTTGTATTGACACATGCTTGTCTTAAGATGCGACTAACAAGATCGGGTGGTCATGCTCGCTGACTTGATTAATGCATGTCATCGTATCCCAAATGCGTAGATCGATGCCCATGATATCAATCACTGGATTGTCTGGTCCGGTGTGCTTTTCAAGAAATATCCAAAATGATCATCATCATGGAGTTTGATCACATGGTTATGATCCGGGCAAGAGTCGGCAGTCAGGTGACTGCTAGTGTATATATTCAGCAGCATGTCAGTCTACGTACATTACCAGCATGAGTTGTTGTATTGAAACACTATTGACCTTCTACGTACATTACCAGCATGAGTTGTTGTATTGAAACACTATTGACCTTCTACGTACATTACCAGCATGAGTTGTTGTATTGAAACACTATTGACCTTCTACGTACATTACCAGCATGAGTTGTTGTATTGAAACACTATTGACCTTCTACGTACATTACCAGCATGAGTTGTTGTACTGAAACACTATTGACCTTCTACGTACATTACCAGCATGAGTTGTTGTACTGAAACACTATTGACCTTCTACGTACATTACCAGCATGAGTTGTTGTACTGAAACACTATTGACCTACGTACATTACCAGCATGAGTTGTTGTACTGAAACACTATTGACCTTCTACGTACATTACCAGCATGAGTTGTTGTATTGAAACACTATTGACCTTCTACGTACATTACCAGCATGAGTTGTTGTACTGAAACACTATTGACCTACGTACATTACCAGCATGAGTTGTTGTACTGAAACACTATTGACCTTCTACGTACATTACCAGCATGAGTTGTTGTATTGAAACACTATTGACCTTCTACGTACATTACCAGCATGAGTTGTTGTGTTGAAACACTATTGACCTTCTACGTACATTACCAGCATGAGTTGTTGTACTGAAACACTATTGACCTTCTACGTACATTACCAGCATGAGTTGTTGTTTTGAAACACTATTGACCTTCTACGTACATTACCAGCATGAGTTGTTGTATTGAAACACTATTGACCTTCTACGTACATTACCAGCATGAGTTGTTGTACTGAAACACTATTGACCTTCTACGTACATTACCAGCATGAGTTGTTGTACTGAAACACTATTGACCTTCTACGTACATTACCAGCATGAGTTGTTGTACTGAAACACTATTGACCTTCTACGTACATTACCAGCATGAGTTGTTGTGTTGAAACACTGTTGACCTTCTACGTACATTACCAGCATGAGTTGTTGTATTGAAACACTATTGACCTTCTACGTACATTACCAGCATGAGTTGTTGTACTGAAACACTATTGACCTACGTACATTACCAGCATGAGTTGTACTGAAACACTATTGACCTTCTACGTACATTACCAGCATGAGTTGTTGTGTTGAAACACTATTGACCTTCTACGTACATTACCAGCATGAGTTGTTGTACTGAAACACTATTGACCTTCTACGTACATTACCAGCATGAGTTGTTGTATTGAAACACTATTGACCTTCTACGTACATTACCAGCATGAGTTGTTGTACTGAAACACTATTGACCTACGTACATTACCAGCATGAGTTGTTGTACTGAAACACTATTGACCTTCTACGTACATTACCAGCATGAGTTGTTGTGTTGAAACACTGTTGACCTTCTACGTACATTACCAGCATGAGTTGTTGTACTGAAACACTATTGACCTTCTACGTACATTACCAGCATCAGTTGTTGTGTTGAAACACTGTTGACCTTCTACGTACATTACCAGCATGAGTTGTTGTATTGAAACACTATTGACCTTCTACGTACATTACCAGCATGAGTTGTTGTATTGAAACACTATTGACCTTCTACGTACATTACCAGCATGAGTTGTTGTACTGAAACACTATTGACCTTCTACGTACATTACCAGCATGAGTTGTTGTACTGAAACACTATTGACCTTCTACGTACATTACCAGCATGAGTTGTTGTACTGAAACACTATTGACCTTCTACGTACATTACCAGCATCAGTTGTTGTTTTGAAACACTATTGACCTACGTACATTACCAGCATGAGTTGTTGTATTGAAACACTATTGACCTTCTACGTACATTACCAGCATGAGTTGTTGTATTGAAACACTATTGACCTACGTACATTACCAGCATGAGTTGTTGTACTGAAACACTATTGACCTTCTACGTACATTACCAGCATGAGTTGTTGTACTGAAACACTATTGACCTTCTACGTACATTACCAGCATGAGTTGTTGTGTTGAAACACTATTGACCTTCTACGTACATTACCAGCATGAGTTGTTGTATTGAAACACTATTGACCTAGTTCCAGATGCCCACTCTGCTTTAAATAATATGACCCAGTGATTCACCTTATTCTTCACCCTCTATGACGTGAACTTTAAATGAATTTTCTCCCCCTCATAGATCATCTGCATGACGAACTACGATGGTGAGGAACGGCAGCGGATCAAGCAAATGATAAACGCCATTGGTGCGAAATACACGGGCTACATGACCCACTCTAACTCGGTCCTCATCTGTAAGAAGTAAGTAGTGTGTGTGAAAGTCTGTGCTAGTTTATTTGTGAGTGACATTGTGAAAACTGAACACCTTCATCTAAAAATGACATAACGTAACAATGGTAAACCCACATTTTTTCACATTTCACACTATAAAAGTTCAATCATTTCCCTAACTGGCTATGTAAATATTGTAAAGCATTAACGTGATTATCAGTAGCTTATGGCTCGGGAAACATATTGAATATGCGAAATTTTACAAAATGTCCATAGCAGCTATTTTGTTGACATTGCACACTGGATACTTAGTGAGTCTCATCAAGTTGTAAATATCCAATAATGTAAAAACCAAAAACATTATGTGAAAGCTTGTTTGTTTCCTGATTACCGTGTTGATAAGAAAACATCTTTGTTGAAAGTAGTCAGTGAAATCATCGATTACCAACAGCATCTACTGAGGAGTGGAGAGTATGGGGAAACCTCTTTATTTCGACCCCCCACCCCCATGGACTAGTAATGATTCTGTGTTTGTTTAGGAAATTATTAACCTGTGAAGATCCGGTCTTCAGCAACCCATGCTTGCCATAAAAGGCGACTAATGGGATCAGGTGGTCTGGCTCGCTGACTTGGTTGATGCATGTCATTGTATCCCAATTGCGTGGATCATTGCATATGATGTCAATCACTGGATTGTCTGGTCAAGACTTGATTATTTACAGACCGCCTTCATATTGCTGGAATATTGCTGAGTGCAGCGATAAACAAAGAAAGAAATAACCTTCATTTGATAGTGCAACAGTAAACACAATGGATAACTTAGACAATGCTTTTAACATCTATTTTTGCATGCTTTTAGAAAGACTCCTGTATGCTTTAATGGAAGATCATGTGTATGTGATACAGAATTCTCATGGAGTATAGTGTAGAGTATAGGATTTCTGTCAGCAGAGATGTCCACCATTAATACTTGCCTCTACCTGGGGTGGCGTCTCTGGGGTGGCGTCTCTGGGGTGGCGTCCCTGGTGTGGCGTCCCTGGTGTGGCGACCCTGGGGTGGCGTCCCTGGGGTGGCGGCGTCCCTGGGGTGGCAGCACCACATTCTATTATTTATACTTCCTTCTGTTCACAGACCCGAAGGTTTAAAATATGACAAGGCAAAAGATTGGAGGATACCTGTAGTGAACGTGCACTGGTTGACGGACCTGGTCATCGGGAACCTAGATGCTCTGCGTCTGCCGGTACACGTCAAGTACCTCCAGCTGGGTCAGCACAATGAGTTCAGCATGGACATTGTCAAAGTCCAGGGCTTGATGGGTGAGCTGAACCTACTCATGTGTTGTGGTTCAGTTGATTACGTGTTTCCTGTAATAGGTTCACAGATGCACAGGTTCAACTATATCGACAGGCATTCGGAAATAAGCAAGAATGGTTTTTTTCCACATTTCTGTCAAATCTTCAAAGGGATTCGTTTTCTTGATCCAATATTTCTGAGGTTGAATTTTTCTGAATGAGGACGATGGAAGCAATCAGTGAAAATTAGTACCTGTTGCACATCTTGTGTTTTGATATATTGTGTTTGCTAGCTACCATGATCATCCTTAATAGGTTTTGTATGACAGAACGATACTGTTATTGGTGTGATGTATTTGCAGCTGGCTGGAAGACTCCGCTCAAAGTCAGCAAGGAGGCATGGAAGGTGAGGAAGATGTTTGTTATCATGGCTGTCATAGGTCAAGTTAGAATCTGATAGTCGTGGGTTCGAATCACAGGTATGCCTTGTTTCTCGGTTTGCCAGCAACATGCCTGTGTTCATGGGTTTCACTAAACTAGTGAATGTCTAGCACCCGCATCAAGAGGTGTTTCTGTGATGTACTGTGATGACTGAAACACTGTTCAAATCAGTATTGTGTCCACCTCACTACATAGGTCACCATGACCTTACACTCTACATAGGTCACCATGACCTAACTCACTATGTAGGTCACCATGACCTAACTCACTCTGTAGATCACCATGACCTAACTCACAACAGAGGCCTGCCAGACCTGCCAGATTCTGATATCCTCAACAGCAACATCCAGAGTAGAATAGGTCCCCAGTACCCAGTGTTTGTCATGAGAACTAACTTGGAACATTGTGATCACCATGTCTGACCTGAGGGTGAAGCACAGTTAAACATCACTGTGTCCAACACTACGAGACACCTTTCCCAATGTCATTCACATTGAAAGAGTGACATCACACACACTTTCAAAGATTCACTGTATGTTGATAGTCAATGTGTTACGACACAGGGATTTAGGTGTCCTAGTTCTTTAGTAACCATGGTAATGTTCAACATAAAAGTTCAGACAAGGACCCTTTACTTGTTTGGGAATACTGCCTTTATGACTACATGTATTTTTTGATTGATGTTTGGGATAATTAATTCAATTAATAAAGATGTAATCATTTTTTTACTTTTGCAAATAGAAATTTATTCCTGCTGCAAAGTTACGACCTCAGCCGGCCCCCGGTCAGGAGAACCCAGGAGTCAAACACAAACTGTCCGAGTCCGAGAAGACCGGACCTCTAGCTAAGAGGCCAAGGTTAGTCCCTTCCCCAACAAATAATTAACTCTTCTTTGAGAGGAATTTAGAAGTTGGAGTACTAAGTAAGGATAAGATATATGGATGATCAACTTCTTTATTACAATTAGGAGCGATGTTTCGGTGTAGGTTCTAACACTGTTATCAAGCAGTTACGGTGTTAGTACCTTCACTGAAATGTCACTCCTAATTTTGATTCCTTGATTGTGCTTTCATTTTTTAATATTGGTTAATATTTCGTACAACCACTCATGACCAAAGCGCTGGCATAAATCTTGCTGGGAATCATGCAGGAAGCAAAAGCACTGTAAGTCCCCATGATCCCCAGTTAGGTGGTCTAGCTTTGGTTGCCAGTGGTTATAGCCTAGTTTTACTTTTTCATGACAAATTGACTGAAAACTTCTTTGTTTTACTATTGCTCAGGTTTGTTTTATGTCTACACTGTGATATTTACTTTACTGTTTTACTGTCCTTTGTAAACAGAAATTTTGTAAAAGTATACTTGTTCTCATCGCGATATGGCTGCAATAATGCTGATGCGATGTAAAATGATGACTCACTAACTCAGTCTTTGCGTACTGTGAAGTCTACTAGCTTCAATTTTGCTCTTCGCACAATCCTCAGTAGATGTTGGTGTCATCATATGGACTAGTGCTAACTAGAGAGTGAGTGTGTATGGTTTGACGCTGCTTTTAGCAATATTCCAGCAGTATCACGGTGGGGATACCAGAAATTGTATTTACACATTGTACCCATGTAATGAGGGGCGGTCGGGTAGCCTTGTGGTAAAAGCGTTTGCTCGCCACGCTGAAAACCCGGGTTCGATTCCCGACATGGGTACAATGTGTGAAGCCCATTTCTGGTGTCCCCCGCCGTGATATTGCTGGAATATTTCTAAAAGCGGCGTAAAATCGAACTCGAACTCAACACATGTCATGAATCGAACTCGAACTCAACCCATGTCATGAATCGAACTCGGGTCTTCGGCGTGTCGAGTGAACGCTTTTACCACTAGGCTACCCCACCGGGTATTACTAACTAAGCTTCCTACACCAAACAGCATTTTACTAGACTCTTGTTTCGGACTAATGGCTACAATCTCAGATTGACCAAGTATATTGACTGCACGGCCATCTGTTTGCAGGCTCGAGAGCAACGGCAAATCCACACAGCCCAGGGTGATGTTCACGGGCTACCCTAAGGGCATCGTCAAGAGACTACAGCAGGTGAGCAGCGAACCTGGCCAGTGCTACTGACCTCACAAACATGAAGTGTTTTTCAAAATACCTGTAAAAACTACAAGCCATATTGGCTTCATTTGATTTGCTGTGAATATTTGTTGCAGCAAGACTCTTAGGTTAGTATTGATTGTTGACTGTGTGATTGGTTGATTGGTCAATATACCCTGTGATGTGTAACATTGTTCATTATATCAACCACTGGTTTGTCTGGTCTCATTGTCTATGGCGAAGACCCGGGTTTGATTCCCCCCACATGGGTACAATGTGTGAAGCCCTCCCTCACTCACTCACTCACTCACTCACTCACTCACTCACTCACTCACTCACTCACTCACACTCACTCACTCACTCACTCACTCACTCACTCACTCACTCACTCACTCACTCACTCACTCACTCACTCACTCACTCACTCATTAACTCGTACACGTGTCCTGATTTTCGAGTGGTGGACCTGCATCATTTCAGGCTTTCCTTCAAGAATCAGTTGACAGACTCTGATATATCAGAAATACTGTATTGCGTTTAACATGTTAAACCAAAATCACTCGCTGTATGACTGCCTCCGTGGTGTAGTGGGGAGAGCTTCTGCCCGCAGAGATGAAAGTAATTTGTTTGACCTATTATGCCAAGGAATGTTAAAAGATGGTACTTGTTGTTACCCTGGCTGGCGCTTGGCATTAAGGGATAAAACTAAGACTGGTCGGCTCGGGGTATCCATGTTAAACTGCAGCATGGTATCTCAGTGGGTTAGCATTATGAAACCGGTACAAGCCCAAGACCATTACACACACATATGCATGCATGTCTCCGTGTATGTGCAATAATCCTGAAAGCAACGTTAAACACCATTTCACCTCGCCTCACTTTGTTAGATCGATGCGATATCTAAATGACCATGTGTTTCCAGATCGTGAATGACCTTGGCGGAGTGTTGGTGGACAACCCTCGGGACTGTAGCCACCTGGTGTCTCAGATCTTCTCTCGCACCATGAAGTTCTTTGTGGCCATCAACGCCTGCAAGTTCATCCTCACCAAGGAATGGCTGGAGGAGAGCCTCATCCAGAGCAAGTTTCTCGGTGAGTGGCGCCGCACTAGATCCAGTTTTGCTTCTGCATGTTGTTTAACACGTGGAGACCCAGGTTAGAATGGGTCTTCAGCAACCTATGTTTGTTGAAGAGGCGACTAGCAGGATCATGTGGTCAGGCTCGCTGACTTGGTGGATGCATGCCATCATATCCAAATTGAGAGGATCAATGTTCATGATATCAATCACTGGATTATCTGGTCCAGACTCGATAATTTATAGACCACCACCTGTGAATTGACAGATGTGAACTGTGCTGCAGCATTAAGTCACTGTGAGATTACGTCCTACTTGCTTACGTAAGAAAATAATACATCTTTTCTGAAATCCTGAAAATGTCTCACGCTTGATTGAGCCGTAAATTTAAGAAATATTATTAGAAGTTACTCACTCTGAATCCTCATCGTCACTCATCAACACTCAGGGTTTACTCTGATGTGCGGAAGTGGGGGTCCCTGGACCCCAATACTTGAACTTAAGGGTCCTGTAAACTACTAAAATGGCGTAGTGTACTTTACGTTTCGGGGGCACGGGTGGCCCAGTTGTCTAAGGCACCGCAATTCGACTTGCAGAGTTGTGTCCGTTGGGCACGCCAGAAACCTATGATTGTGGGTTCGAATCCCGGTTTGCCCCAGTTATGTTTCTAGGTTTGTCAGCACCATACCCGTGCTCGTGGGTTTCACCGAAGTGGTAAACGTCTGTGACCTGCATTACTTCGGGCTTTCCTCCCACATTAAGCTGACACGCCATGATATAACTGGAATACTGTTAAAAGCGGCGTTAAACCCAACTCACTCACTCACTTTACGTTTAGGTATTTACTGTAGAGCCTGGAAGGATCAATGATCCTGTGGAGAGTGGTCATGATGGATGGAGGAAACCACAAGCCCATTACTGCTCTTGGTACATTTTTATTGTACGCCCCTTGGGACGCAGTTTATTCAACATTTGTGCATAGTGTAAAACCCTGATTACTCATCAATACTAATCAGTACTCATCAATACTATGGTGGCCAGTGTTAAACTATGAGAATCTCTGACAATATGACAGTAAGTGTGATCATTTATTTCTCTCATCAATACTATAGTGGTCAGTGTTACAACCCAGTGTGATTGTTGATTTCTCTCTCGTCTCAGATGAGGCAAAGTATCATCTCAACGACTTGAAGGGGGAGGCAGAGATTGGCTGTAAGCTGTCCGAGTCATTACAGAAGGCCAAGTCAAAGCCTCTCTTTCAGGTGAGTGACCCTATCTTGAAATGTCATTCTCCGAACACATGCTCTGTATCATTCATAGATATTTGATACTTCTGGATACTACAGGTGACAATGCATGAACATTACATTAGTCCTGTTACTTGTTCCTTGCTTTCAATCACTGGTTTGTCCTATTGTCAATAAAGATCCGGGATAGAATAGGTCTTCAACAACCCATGCTTGCTGTAAAGGCGTCTATGCTTGTCGTAAGAGGCGACTAACTTGATCAGATGGTCTGTCTCGCTGACTGGGTTGATGCATGTCATCGTATCCCAACTGCGTGGATCAATGCTTATGATATCAATCACTGGATTGTCTGGTCCAGACTCGATTATTTACAGACCCCCGTCATGTAGCTGGAATATTGCTGAGTGCGACGTGAAACAACAAATCAACCAACCATGTGTAGTCACTTCTCCCTCACTTACTCTGCAGGGTCTATCATTTCACGTCACGCCTGGAGTGGCGCCCCCTGTGTGTGATGTCCGGAACATCGTGGAGAGTGCTGGGGGTACGACAGTCAAACGACGGCCGTCAGCTAAGACCATAGCAGCTCAAATGGACGAAAAGGTAGGACGATAACCTGTCGCCAGTAGCAACCAGCAGGAGGAGTATCACAGGCAGTCAGACAGGGGACCCATAAGTGTTGCCTGCCCATCTTCAAACTTACCTGCCTGCATTCAGCAAAAACTAAGAGATTCAGTTGAAATAATGCAAACAATTACAGTAAACTATGGTTATAACGAACACGCTTATAACGAACTAACGGATATAACGAACTAACTTTTTAGTCCCGACTATATGCTGTAGTTATGCTGTATATATGCTTATAACGAATTACGGTTATAACGAACTAAAATTAGTAGTCCCTTTGAGTTCGTTATAACCGTAGTTTACTGTACTTGAAAATTTACGATTGTATGATAAAACTGAGTACGTAAGAAGTCTTAAAATTATCTGCCAGACAGTCGAGCAGGTGGAGGAAAATTACATGCAGCCCGACAGAAAAGTTACCAGCCACGGGCAGGTGGGCAGGTACTTCAGACACTGTAACATCCATTGAAATACACGCTAGTCAGCTGCCCGGGACTTCTGAATTGTGTGAGGACAAGTGAAATCGTGTGATAGTAGTTCTCATTGACTTGTACCATTTGAGGGCTATGGTTCAGAACCAGTTTGCAATGCTTCGGTTTTTGTGACAAATTTGAGGTGAATAAACGCTAGCAGTGAGGGAGTAGGTTACCCTTCTTAGAACAAGTAGAAAGATATCCGCTGTCAGTGTATTGTTGGGGGTGCGGTTGGGAACCCAGGTTCGAATCTCCACATGGGTACAATGTGTAAAGCCCAATTTCTGGTGTCCCTGCTGTCATATTGCTGGAATATTGCTAAAAGCGGCGTAAAAACATACCCACTCACTCACTATATTGTTGGGACATCACATAAAATTGTTAAGTCATGAAAGGAAATATTTGTGACTGTGTGTTAATATGAGGCCTCTCTTAGTGCAAACAATAAACATAGCGGAACAATCGAACGGGTCAACCCATGAACAAATATTGCTGAGTGAATATCTCCTGCATCTGTACCCCTAGGGGTCATACACTCAGCTTAATGTCTTATGGAATATTTAACAGACCTTTTGTTGTGTTTCAGGGGAAGCCCAAGTTTATTGTAATTACCTGTGTCAATGATATCCATCTCTGTCGGGACTTGCTGGCCAAGAAAATCCGTAAGTTGTAGTACGACTGTACCAATGTCTTAGAGCACAGCTAAAGGCTGATCCAATGTCATTTAGGTCACCTACAGTGCAACATCATCGCGATAATGTACTCCAGACCGCCTTCGTAGTCTTGTGGTAGAGCGTCCGCCCGGAGAGCGGAAGGCCTGTGGTTCGATCCTGGCTGCGTCATACCAAAAGACATTAAAAGATGGTACATGTTGTTACCCTGTCTGGCGCTTGGCATTTATATCCCCCTTTCACTATGACCACGAATATCCTGAATTGGAAACTTTCGAAATTCATGATGATTCGGCCACGAATCGCGAAGAATAACCAAGAATGCAAAAGAATTTATTACATGGTCGTAGTGAAATGAGGGCATAAGGGTCTAAAAACAAGGACTGGTCGGCTCGGAGTCAGTATACTGTGTCTGAGTGGGATATTCATGTTAAACTGCGGCATGATATGTCAGTGGGCTAGCACTATAACTCGGCATCAGTCCGGACTAGTACAAGCAGACACACACACACACACACACACACACACACACACACACACACACACACACACACACACACACACACACACACACACACACACACACATACACACACACACGTCGCTATATAAGTGCAATAATCTTGGACGCGGCGTAAAACCCAATTTCACCTCATCTCACTGTACATCGACAATTACACGGAAATCTGGGTTGTGGGTAGGTCGACCTTGAATGGAGAGGGAGGAAACTATACATTGATATCTGTGGAACTCGAGTATGTGTCTGTGCTCTAAGACAGAGGATTCTCTATCTGCATGAAGAGTTGCGAGAACAGTAGGATTTTGCTTCACCTTGCCCTCTCTCAACTCTCCCTTAATACGCCCATAGACCGCCTCCGTGGTCTTGTGGTAGAGCGTCCGCCCGGAGAGCGGAAGGTCCAGGGTTCGATCCAGGGCCGCGTCATACAAAAAGACGTTAAAAGATTGTACTTGTTGTTACCCTGTCTGGCGCTCGGCATTAAGGCTAAAACAAGGACTGGTCGGCTCGGAGTCAGTATACTGTGTCTGAGTGGGGTATTCATGTTAAACTGCGGCATGGTATCTCAGTGAGCTAGCACTATAAATCGGCATCAGTCCGGACTAGTACAAGCAGCCACACACACACATACACGTGCATGCACGTCGCTATATAAGTGCAATAATCTTGGACGCGACGTTAAACCCAATTTCACCTCACCTTAATACGCCCATAAGGTATTCACTCATCCTCCAACTTTCTGAATGTTTGATGTACAGTTGGCTTTGTTGCCTAAAGGCTTAGAATTATATTTGTGATTTGAATGGTGTAACTAATGGATTTATTTCCATTCGACCACCAGCTATGATCTGGTTGTGATTAGAACATATGTAATTAGAACATAAAAGCCTTGGTGTCTCCCACGATGACTACAACAACATTCCCCCCTGTGTTTCAGCCGTCTACAACGCAGAGTTTGTGTTAACTGGAGTATTGCGACAAGAAGTAAACTTTGACATATTTCGTCTCGGAGCACACTAGCATTCTGTCGGATGTGCTTCAGATTCTTGTGGATCGAAGAAAGACATGTCGTGTGAGGGTGTGCTTGATTTGCTTGTGTGTGTGTGTGTGTGTGTGTGTGTGTTTGTGTGCAGGCTCAAGATTTGGTGCAAATGGCAGCAGTCATCCGTGGCAACGAAAACTGGATTCACCGGACTGTTGGCTGATGTTTTACAGACTTTTATATAGGGCATCATGTGATGATGAAAACGTGTGACTTTGTTACAGTTGTTTTAGCAATACGTTCAAACAGACATACAATAAATCCCATTGTTCATCAGCATTATCCATAAATATGCTGACTCATCAGCTTGGAAAGCAAACTATCATTTCATTGTGTGCAGTTTTGATGTGTGGTCTGGTTAATAATTACGAACTTAATGCATGATTTTATAAGATTATTGTTGATGAATATACATAGATATATTTATGGAGACTTTGGTTAAAAGATGGAAACTTTCCTGCTTGTTTATTATTATCCACTGCCATGGAGAAGAGTGGGGCGTTGGATATGGGAATGGAGGTCATCCGTCCGTCCGTCCTACCCGCTGTCTGTTCGCATCTCAGTGGGGACAAAATTTACAGTGGGGAAGGTAAAATCAGATTTCTTCAGGACATAAAACCTATCTCTTCTTAAGGCTTTTTGGAACTATTTTTTTATTATTGTTTTTCAAAATTAACTTCTATGTTATTCACTGCCATATGAATAAACAAAATTCTAAAGTGCCCCATGGCGGGGGATAGTGATAACGTTTGTATCACTAATGACGTGTGTTGGATGTTGTTCCTGATTAACAAGTAATGGAGAATCATTATTCCTTAACTTTCGGCTCATTCATCAGTTTGGATGGAATACGCAGCTACTTGCTTTACTTTCTTAATTGAAGCCAGGTGATATATTGTATTCTGTGGTGGAAAGAAAGTTAGCTGAATAGAAATTTTAGACTCAACTCAACAGCACATATGGGATAGTGATGCAGTGTTGATGGAAAGGTAATTTTACCTGGGCCCCCTTGTGCAAAGCTCAGGTTTTGGATGCAGGCTCTGTCACTTGCTGTGCAGAGTTGCCTCCCTTACCCAGGACAGGAGCTGAGGCTTATCCTCATCACACCGTGTGTCTACCACACCATGCTCATGGGCTGCACTAAGGTGGTACATGTCTGCAAGTCATGTGATACAATTCAGGAACTTAGCACTTTGATCTCTGTGTGGAACGGGGACAAGATCTCATACAATGACATACAATGATACAAGACGTCCCTGTGGGAAGATCTGACACCCCCTCCATTGAGTCGCATCAGGTGACCTTTCTAATCAGCCAATCAGAGTGGAGGCTCATCAGCATTCAGTTCAGTATAACAGATTTCTGTATCTCAAAAAATAAACGTACACAGGTAGTTCTGAATGGAAAATAATAAAGAACGCGATTATTTTATTGATTTTTCTTTCTGTTTCTAAACACCATATCTTCTGTGTATTAGGATATTTATTCCCCCTGGAGATTCTTTCCAGGAGAAAGTAATATCCCAGGTAAAAACTTCTAGTTGAAACTTGTGAAGTTTATCATTTCCAAAGCCAGTATCTAAATAATCTTACTAACGCTGGAATATTTTCCCAAATGAATATTCTTTCTTCCGGAAACCTTTTTATCCGGACCTATTAATCATTTACACCTGCACCCTAAAAAGATGTACTTTGGGAGTAATATCTGGGTTCTAAATTCAAGTGGGAATGAAATGAAGCTCAATTCTGATTGGCTCAAGGACCCAAGCAGTCAAAGCCGTCCCTGGGTTGGAAAGGTAAATGAGATAGCCTGGTTTGTCAGATCTTCCTGCAGAGAGGTGTGTATCGAAGTAAATGGTTTAAAGTTTGTTTCCTGATAAGATGAGTGTCCATGATTGGGTTAGGTTTGTGCCAAAAGATCTTGACTTGTCCATGCCTGTCAGTTGGGATTGTGTATCAGAAATTCGAACATGTTGATAGCCTAAATATTTATATAAATTATAGAGAGTAGTCCGATTTACCATACAGATTTCTTTTGTGGATAAGCCAGTCCACATAAACTTTGTATCATGATCCAATAGATATGGAAATGAGGTTGCCGAGCAGAAATTACTTTCAAGCTCCATACATCAATGCCATGCCTTCATTCTCAGTGATGTATCGACGAACATGTCGTATATGAAGTCTTTGAATGGCATTTTAGAAGTGATACACATCATGAAGTGAATGTATGGGTTTTAAGGAGGTGTCCCAGTCGTCTAAGGTGCCGCAATTCGCTGTGAAGAAACCTATGATTGTGGGTTCGAATCCAGGTTCGCCCTGATAATGTTTCTAGGTTTGTCAGCACCATACCCGTGCTCGTTGGTTTCACCGAAGTGGTAAACGTCTGAGACCTGCATCACTTCGGGCTATCCTCCCACATTAAGTTGACACGCCATGATATAACTGTAATAACTGATAAACCCAACTCACTCACTCATTTTAGAGAAGTTGACATCCATAAATTCTCTTTCTTACTTACAAGAAGTTAAAGAACACCCGATTCCTCTACTTCTTTTGAGCAGAATAAGACAGAGATTACCCTCTGTTTACCAGATTATTGAGAGATGACCTTTAGTATTCACATCAATATTTCAAACATTATTTCAAAATGTTGTCTTTGTATTTTGCTTTTTTACTTATCATTCGATGCAGCCGATCGAAAAGAAGTGTTGGTGCCTCACATCAATACAAGTATGTCAAATCATTTTGACTTGATGTTATTGTTTAATATTGTTGTGCTTCCATGATAATGTGGCATTGATGCAAGGTGAATTTGTTAGATATTCTCAGCCAAGATGGTTGTCCCCATGCTTAGAAACCAGAATGTGTTATATTGTTTCGAATAATGTGGTGTAATCTGTCAATGGTAAAGTGGTAGACCACAAGAAAATATCACTTCCTTACAGAATTTTACTTGTCTTGGACTAGATAACTTGCGTTGATTTCAAAGCTTCTTATTCCTTGTGATACAATGTGTGAAATAACACTGGTTCATTATCACTTTAGTCTAGTCCTCTGTTGGTATGACCTCACTAGATTAGGGGAGGAAGCTTCTAGTCCCTTAAATAGTTCACTTGTCTTGGCTGTTGTGCTATTTGGAACGCAGCCTTTTCATTGTAACAGTTACCATTGATTCTTTACACAAGTGGCCATTTGGAACTCAACCTTTCTCTTTTGTCCAGCTTCTTCCGATTGTAAGAACTTGCCAAGTCTGCAAAACCACACACACTCAAGGATCTTTCATATCAAAGTTCATATTTTTATTTACCAAGTTTGTTATACCTGTTCATTCACGTGAATTCGCTGAAGGGATACGATGTGTTTTTTTAAAGCGCATAACACTCGATAAATCTTATTTTAGACAGTGAATCATAAACATGAACGCTCATGAACTATTTGGACCCCGAAGGTAGCGTTTTAGCAGGGGATCACTGTATATTTATTTATTTTCCACTTTCAAAGCTTAAAGCAAATGGATCTGAAATCCCAGTAATGCAAATTGGCCTTGTTCTTTGGGTACCAAGTGCTCTCATTTGTACGTTTCCAGCTTCAGGGTAATCTGTGTTACATGTTTTCTGGTCTACAATGTCTTGTCAGATGTCCATGTAGGGTCCTGTTTCTTTAGATGATGACTTATTTCTTATGTGGGATGGCAGTGGTGGAGCAGCTGACACCGCACTGATGTTTCTGAAATTACCTGTAGTAGTCCAGAAAAGGGGTGTCCGAACGTATTAACGGTTTCAAGAAAAACATATTGTCTTCCTTCAATTAAGTTTTCCTAGATTTTAGCGAATTTATTCACTGCTCTTCTGATGTTGACAATCTTCAAAAACAGATATGTTTACTGTTGTTTTTGTATGTGCTTATGAGTTTGTTTTTCATCATCCATTCTGTAGGTCGCTACTACAAAAAAAGGTATGTGATTTTGAAAACAAGATGGCAAACCCCATGACAGGTACCAGCAGGAATCCTTGCAATGAAATAAAGTATTTATGGTTGTAGGTAAGCAAGTGTTGAAGGAAGAGACTGGTACATAGATTCTGAAAGTGTTTCACGATCTGTAGGGTCACATGCACAGATGTGTGCTGCAGATTCCACAGCTAACATTTACAGATTGTTGAATACCCACCCCCATTAGTGACATACAGACCCTTTGGTAGTTCACCCTCAGCTGCAGTTGTAGAAACTTCCTCCCTTGTGGTTGCTCCTGTCCAGTATGTTGTCAGGGCCTTTTTGCAATCACGTTCACTCTCAGCCGTCCATGTTGCGTGTTAGCCTAGTAGATTTGAAGTTTGCCAGTGTATTTATTACCGACTAACCCGGTTGAAAGCTTTGTACAATTGGTTTGCCTGTCAGTGTCCTCAATGTAGCTCATGTAGCCCCTCCCTCTTCTTGTGATATAACTGGAATACTGTCCAGAGTGGCGTTAGAATAAAGTCACTAGTGTCCAGTGTCCTTAGCTTGGGTCATACTAAAAGACGTTAAAAGATCATACTTGTTGTTGCCCAGTCTGCGCTTGGGTTTAAGGGGCTAAAACAATAACTGGTCGGCTCAGAGTCGGTATACTGTGTCTGAGTGGGGTATTCGTGTTAAACTGCGGCATGGTATGCCAGTGGGATAGCACCATAAAACTGGCGCAAGTCTGGACGAGTGCATCGGCCACAAGTGCTGCATGTTGCTATACAAGTGCATCATGAGGTTTTAGACCCAGTTCGATTCACCTTGCTATAAATAGTTGCAACCCTGCAAGCTATTGTTCATGTTTGACATCATGTTTGTAGCATACTCAGTTGTTTATAGGGACGGACCATTTGATATTCTAGGGGGAGTGGCTGGGATTTTATCTAATAGAATAAATTGTCCCCCCAAAAGGGTCATGGGTGGTTGGCTGGCTATTGTCTTTTTCTAATTTCTTTTTCAGCTCAAGTTATATTTGAAATATGACATTCATTGAAGTGAGACATTTTTATTTTCAAATATAAAACCAGACATTCAGGAAGTGGCAAGCCTTTTTAATAGTTAAGTCTTTGAATGATATTTAGAAGTGATACACATAAGAAATAGTGATCCGTATCTTATCATGAACAAATTATCATGATACTTATCCCGTGAGATCCCTATAAACTGACGTGAATTTAGATTCCGGAGGACGTCCTTGTGCAGGTGGACGTCCTTGTTTGAGTGGACGTCTTTGTGCAGGTGGACGTCCTTGTCCTGGAGGACGTCCTTGTGCAGGTGGACGTCCTTGTCCTGGAGGACATCCTTGTGCAGGTGGACGTCCTTGTGCAGGTGGACGTCCTTGTTCCGGAGGACGTCCTTGTGCAGGTGGACGTCCTTGTGTCTTGCTGCACATTATTGTCAGCATTATGGTTTCCAGTATGTTCAGTTACACCCATCTTGAGTTGTAAGCTGACTGTTTTAGAATCACCCTCCCAGAGGAATGTTAAAGACTTTTACTGAAAAACATATCAAGAAATAAATAATGATAAAAAAAATGATGTTTCTTTGTTTTTTATCAAGACTGAATTAGCGTGTCTCTGTACCACTGGTGGGCACGAGTGGCCCAGTCTCCTAAAGCGCTGCCAACCGCTGTGCAGAGTTGCATCCCTTTGGGCACGCCAGAAACATATGATTGTGGGTTCAGATCCGGTTCGCCCCAATGGTTTCTAGGTTTGTCAGCACCATACCCATGCTCTTGGCTTTCACTGAAGCGGTAAACGTCTAAGACCTGCATCACTTCAGGCTTTCCTCCCACATTAAGCTGACATGCCGTGATATGACTGGAATACTGTTATTAAACACTCACTCACTCTGAACTCTGAACTCTGAACTCTGAACCACTGCCTGAAAGGGATTCCTCTGCAATACCACTGATTCAGTGGATTCATAATATTCAAGTTACTGGTGGATACACAGGAGATCTACGTCTCCCATTTCGAGGCTACTTACTTCTGTTGCGCCCATAAGGATGAGGAGTGACATCCATGTCCTCCGAGCTTTTATAGCAGTTCTAAATTTGAATAGGGTCACAGTGACCCTTTGGTACATGATCCGATTTTTGTGAGTAATTAACGTTTTTGTTTGCACATTTTACAACTGGAGTTGGCTCAGCTGCCGGTGTGAGTGTTGGTGATGGCGCTGCTGCTACTGGTGGTGGTGACACAGGTGCTTCATCTGTTTGTGAAAAGGAACTGGATTGTAACAAAGAATATCTGTCTCCCCAAACTCAGTTGTGTCAGTCTGGCATTGCACAGACATGACTGATTTTGAAGATGTGTGTGTGACAGCTGCCGAGTAGGATACAACTGTGGTTGGAGAGGTAGTAGCCTTGACTAAACGCTTTGCATGTTTAAATTGTACAATCTGGAGTTGAAGATTGAACTGTGGACAGGTCTTTGAGGAAGCCACATGATTTACAGAACAATTCACAGAGTTGGGTGTTTTTGTAAATTTATCATCAGTTCCGGGGTCATGTTCTCCACATTGATGGCAGATCTTGCGATTTGTGCATGATTGAGCACAATGCCCAAACTGCTGGCACTTGTAACATCGAAGTGGGTTTGGAATATATTTACCCACTTCAATGTTGAAATATCCTGCTTAAATGTTTCTAGGAGGAGTTGGTTTTGAAAAGGTCATGAGATAGGTGTTCGAATTAAAACTTGTGTCATCTCTTTTGAAAGTGAAACGTTTGACGTTTGTGACTCCCTGATCTTGTAATTCGACAGCTATTTCATTTTCTGTCACATCACAGAGACAACGATCCCTGTCACTGACGATGCCTTTGCTCGAATTTAGTGTTTTGTGAGGAGAAATCAGAACAGGAGTGGAAACCAACTGTTTAGCAGGTTGCAAGATCGAAGATTGTTTTGAGGTTTTGCATTCCACCAGCAGAAATCCAGATTGAATTTTTTGACATCTTGTACATCACCAGCGATGACATGTATATGGTTCATCTCTCAGCTCCCCACCCACCATGGAGTGTCATAAAGACGATGTTTAACACCAGTGGATCTCCAGCTGGCAGCACCAAGGATATTGAGGTGGTATACTCAAGCAGAAGAAGTAACTGAAAATTAATTATTCCATCGGATTGGCACATGAGCCATCGCCTTCTGGGCATACGACTCTAGGCATCTGAAAGATTTCATCCCCAAAAATCAAGCTTTTATAGATAAATGATTGGGTTAAGACCGAAAGTAGCAGTCAAATGGGAATTCAAATATTGTGCAAATACAAATAATGCATAGGGCATAAGACCTGTCCCATCCTACCAGCCGTCTAGACGAAGTAATGGTTGAAGTGGTGTATTGGGCAAAGGAACGCTATTCCTGTAACCAGTGCCACGAAACTACCGTCCTCCGCCTACACAGGGACGCAACACACGGCAAACAGGTTGCCCAATTTGGTCGCCTTCTACGACAAGCAATGGGGTGCTGAGGACACATTCTACCCAGGGTCCACGGTTCATTCGCAGGACGACGACCCCCTGTGTCGTATGAAAACAAAAAGTGAGGTCGTCGTCCTGCGAATATTTTAATCCGCCAATCTAGTTAAACAATGGGTATCGAGTGTTATTTTAACGACTCGAGCAAGTAAAAAAGTGGAACTGGATTTGAAACGAAAGAAAGAAATACAATAAGGGTGGAATATTGATTTATTTACAAATAATTTGATGGGTGTAATGGAAAAAAACCAGCCTTTCCAAGTGGCATTGGGGAAGACGTCGAGGGCTGCTATCTTTGCCGCTGCTTCAAAGTCCATCTGGAAATATTAAAATATAAATAAAAACTTGGTATATTCGCAAATATGGACATGTTTCATATATCATATGACACTAAAATATACACCAAATTATACACATTTGGCCTACCTGTATTGTTTGGGGCAGTAGCTGTAACCCTCGGTTCTCAGCAGCATCCTTGACCAGGCGGAAGGCTCTGTCGTAGGTCTCCTTCTTCTTGTCTGGCAGCAACAGGAATACCAGGGGCACCATCTTGTTGGCGACGAAGGGCTGGAGGGTGTAGAGCTGGTAGAAGAGACGTGGAGTCACGTAAAAGGTTCCATCTCCGTAGATGGTGTCGCCTGCACACAGAAATCGGAGGTTGCTGGTGGTACTGAAGCCAAGGATCTTCGAGGGTCTGAAACTGGTCTGGGATGACGAGGTCTCTTCTGTGTGCAGGAAGTGGTGGTAACGTCTTGCTCTGTGCAGAGTGTCCTTCTTCGCGTGGAATGTGGGCATGGCTTCCACTACGGACCTGCTTTCATCAGTCCAGGCTTCACCATTCTTCAATGACATTACTGCGTCGTCGAACAGTGTTGGCATGGGGGTCAGGGATGACTTGGCCTTCTGTTTGAGATTCTGCAACGACTCTCGGATCTGTCAAATATACAAAATCACATTTAAGAAATGCAATATTTTAATACGTGTTATCTGTAATTACATTTGCATAAATACGTTTATTTCAGTCAGTAGTCTAGTCTTTTTTACCTGCAGTATCAATATTGACATTCTTATGAGGCCGTAATGCATACCTTAAAGTCATGATTCACTGGTTCATGGTTATGAGGACTTGACTCTTTCGTCATGATGTCATTGACTGTCGATACTGTGGAACGACAGTCTTTGTTGGTGCACTTCCAAGAGATCCAGTCATTCCTCTTCCTTTTTCCAACTTGGTAGGTGTAGCCACCAGTAGAAAAGGTATCTACTGCCGCGTGGAGTTGGAAGAACCGTGTACTGTAACTGCGCGTTTGCCATATCGAGAATGATGACAGACTACCATGTTTCGGAGATTTATAACAGAGTAACTGTTGAGTCAATCAGTTGAGTAAATGGTACTCACTAGATTATCAAAATCAGAGTTCACCAATTCAGTGAACACATTTCAGTTTTTGTGTACATATTTCAGTTTTTGACACTAACCAAGGAGTTAATCCCCTTCTAAAACAACACCACACATCAAAGGCGTACCGGCGGGTCGTGGGTCCTGCGAATGGAAACATTCGAGGGGTCGTCGTCCTGCGAATACCCTGGGTCCACAAGGGGGAAGAGCGATTAGCATTACCCAGCACTCACCACGTGTAGGTTGCTCTTAATGAGTGCCTGGAACTGCAAGATACTAACTTTAGTATTGCTTATGCTTGTGTGATTGGTTGGTTGGTGAGTCAGATTGTTCCTTATTGCGTGCTATATTTACTGCTGATAATAACACACAATAGTTAAATTGAAGTTGGCACGGGTGAATAGTTGTACTTACAGTATCATCGTATCCCAATTGCGTGAATCGATGCTCATGATCCATCACTGGATTGTCTGTTCCAAACTCAATTATTTTACAGATCGCCGTCATATAGCTGAAATAATGCTGAGTGCGGCGTTTAACAACAAACAAACAAACAAACTAACAATATTCATCACGCTTTTACATATATTTTACACACACATTTGCATAACACATCAATTATTACCTGAGTTATTGAGTATGTTCAGTTTAAGCAAGTGTAATCTAATTATTACCTTTACAAAACATCCCACATTCTTTAATAATATGTATGTATAGACTGTATAAAGCATCAAACAGAATTTTTGCATTTTTTAATAAGTACTCCTTTTTACAATTTCATTGTATGTGCTTTGGGAATTGGTACTAAAGGGGCCAAACACCTAAGACTTAGTTAATTTCACATGAAAACCTTGTATATAGCTTTCAGTTATCATGACCGAGTCTGACAACAGCTATTGCCGAGTTCTGATGAAGATTCCCAGTATAGATATGGAAGTCTAACTTTCACAGATACTATCAACTCCTAAATAATTTCATATATAATTAGAAAATAAAAATAGTCTACTTTTATAGTGCTAAAATCGCATGACATTTAATTTGAAAGTGGTCACAGAAAAGGTAGGCAGTGTTATTAGAAAGGTTGCATCTCTTTGTGGGAAGACAACAAATGCATTACCTTCTGCCTCAAGTCAACAGAATTGTCCATGCAAAAATTGCAGTTGCACAAATGCAGTTACAAGATGTCCTGAAGAATAAGGATACAACTCTATACACCGAAAATATGGAAAGAGAGTGGAGACATATGTTGTCACTGATGAATCTCAGACATATATTTTGGGTCTCCGAGAAAAGGCCAACAAAAGTAGTCAGACTACAAATGACACCTTTAAGGAGATACTTGAGTACATCAACGACCACTGCCATAACAAGGAGAAGGAAGAAAAAATGTATGAGGGTTATCGAATTCTTGCAAACATTCTAGAAATGATGTCCGATAGAGCCTCAACAGGCTTCTGGAGCAATTCAGAGCAACTATTTTACAGTTGTAGATGGCTGGGCAGACTTGGATAAGAAAGTCCATGTGTACAAAACAACAAGACTTTTGAACGTCCATTCCTTCAAGGAAAGACTCTTGGATCTGCCAAGTTTCCTGAACTTAAACTATTCCATAAGGGTAATACGTGTAATCAGAACTTGCTGCAGTGGGTGAAGATGAAAAAATGGTGTCAGCATGGCATGGAAGACATACTTGAAGAGTGAATCAGGGGAACGCAATCGTTGTTTGCTTTAGGCACATTCAAACTTGTGTCATGCAGTGTATTTCCATCGTGAAGACATTTCTTGACACTGTTCACGGAACGGCAAACAGCCTACTGAAAGCGGTCACACATGACATCAAAGAAAATCTGTACCTTGCAGGAGCAAGAGCGCTTGGGTTGATTTTGAAATTTATCACCGGTCCTTTGTGGAAATTACTGGAAACGAAAGGCTACATCCTAGAGATGGACAAGCATTACGAAACACGTGGAAGTCATGACCGAGTTCATGAGAAGTGAAACTACACCATTTGACACGACACTAGATGAGGACGACAAGGTTTTACCCCTTCTCACAACTGTATCCCCATCTGTGGACCCAATCCTATGCCCAATGTTTCAGGTTCAAGACAATCCACCAACTGATCTCTAGAATAGTCACAGATCACCTGCCAAGTAGTGGAGGAAACCAAGTCAACCATGAAACACAACAAACTGCCAGAGTTTGTATTGGGTCAGTGGGACCAACTTCTGAGATACAGGTCAAATTCTTCTTTTCTTACAAATGAAGCGTTTCTGATGCATTCACACAACAGAACTCGTGAATGGCCTGACAATTCTGAAGATAGTGACCGAAACAAGCTTCTTATGGACTCCAAAAAGGGTTGGGAAAAAATATGGAAAACCTTCAAGAAGCGATTGAAAGCTGCTGAAAACTTGACGAATGATGTCTGCTTTTATGGCCTATGGCAGAGTGAGGAGCAAGTCAATGAAGGTTTGACAAGACTTTCAGAAACTGACCAGGGAAAAGCCATAAAATCCCAGCTGAAATTCGGAAAAAACAGTACTCAAACACAAATACAAGGACCCCAAGGTGTTCTCCTTTACTACAAAGAATCATGCTGGAAAGTATGTCAAACATTCCATTCTGGACTTGAGACAGAACCTGATGACTTTGATCAGTGAAACTATGGCCATGGTGACAACAGGGCGGTATCAGGAAGGAATTCCTCTCTTCGTTGGAAACCACGTGGAACACAAATTTGATATGGAGTAGTCTACAAAGGGTTTGTGATTTCTGTAGTTTCTGGATTTCCCAAGTGGTTCAATGTAAACTGACGTCCAAAAGAAACTTTACAAACTGAAAATATAAATTTCAGACAAAGTATAAATTTCTTTTCGATGAAGTCTATCTAAAACAGATCTCCTAAATACAACAATAGTGTATGCAGAAAATGTTAATCGTCTGTTACATGTTTGCGAGATAACACGCGAAAAAGTGAAAAACACAGGCACCACGGACAACTGCAAATGCACGTGCGGGTAAGGATATAAAACGATTGCAACGGCAAGTCAGACATCCACAGTGATAAAAAAAATACAAAAGAAATGCCACGACTCACAGTCGAACAACGTGAACGAGCCTTGGGTATGGAACAGATAGGAGCCACCCACGCCCATATTGCACGAACCTTCAGTTGCTTCCGTGTTGCCGTTACCAACTTGATGCAACGTTACAGACAGACAGGGCGGACCGCTGACAGGCCAAGAACAGGCAGACCCAGGGTTACCACGCCCCATGATGACCGGTACTTGCGTACCTTGCACCTCCGAGTGACGTGACGTCATCGGCGACCAATGCCTTAGGTCACAGGGTTAGTCGACAGACAGTGGCCAGGAGATTCAGGGCTCATAGAATCAGGGCTTTTAGACCTTACAGAGGACAGCTATTGACAGCGCAACATCGTCGTCTGCGATTGAGATGGGCCCGGACTGTACGACGTTGGCAACGACGTCACCGGCAGAGGGTTGTCTTCACTGACGAAAGTCGATTCTGTATGTTTTGGGCTGATGGAAGACAACGTGTTTACCGCCGACGGGGGGAAACGAACGGCAGCGTGTTGCGTGCAGGAGGTCGTACCATATGGTGGAGGGAGTGTCATGATGTGGGGAGGGATCTGTGGGCAGGAGCGGACACCGCTGGTCATCGTTGACGGAAACTTGACAGCTCAGCGTTACATGGATAACATTCTTCGTCCAGTTGTCCTACCATTTCTCCATCATTAGCCACGTGGTGTCATTTATCAGCATGACAACGCTAGAGCCCATACAGCCAGAATTGTCACTAACTTCCTCGCAGCCAACAACGTCAACGTCCTACCGTGGCCTGCACGCTCACTCGACATGTCCTCCATAGAACACCTCTGGGACTTGATGGATCGTCGTGTTCGACAACGACCATACTCTCCAGCCAACCGGCAAGAACTGATCTTGGCCCTCCAAGAAGAATGGCGTCAAATCCCACGTGAACTCATCAGACGACGGACTTTTTTTTCTGTGCGTCGAAGAGTTTTTGCGTGTATTGAGGCATTTGGTGGTCACACACGCTACTAATGAATTGTTATTGAGCGATTGTTGATGCACTCTGCCTATTGTCCATGATTCTGAAAGCTCGAGTTTTGTACCACACCCAACTTTGGGGGGCTCTGACGTCATTCTCGGTGGCGGTATGATTGTCATTTTCAGTGTTGGTTATGTTGATATATTGATCTTCTCAATACACTTTACTTCATACATGTATGTTTTGTTGTTTTTGAGCAAGAGTGTCTTCAAACTCTGGTAAAGTTTCTTTTGGACGTCAGTTTACAACATGAAAATGATGTAGCAGTTCAAGCCTACAACCTGTGTGAAGACTTTGAGAAGGGTGATTTTAAAATCGTGTTAAAACCGCATGGTCAAAGTGTGGACAGTGGACAATGAGCGAGTCGAACAATTGGGCATTAGATACTTAGTTTTTGTTTCCAGCTGCCTTAGTTTGCGGTAGAGGTAATTTAAGCTGCCTATTCAGTTGAAATTGATTTGTTTGCTAGATTTTAGTTCATTTACAAGCCTTTGATATGTTTTAGTTAAATATTATTTTCATTTGTTGATCAGTTTGTGTTGAGTTTATAAAGTTTGATTTTATTTCTTATTTAATGAAAATAATATCCGTTCACAATGTTTTATTACTAATAAATTCACATGTTATGCACTAACATTGACTATATATATATAAATACAGCATGGATGATGCATTGAAAACCCCAAAATGTATTTGGTAGGTCTGAATATTTGTTGCATTAACTTATGATAGTTATGTATGCAACTATGAATTTTGTATGAATAATTATGTATGCAACTTCATAATGATAAAAATTATAAGATTTCTTAAGTTTGACTGATGCAGGTTATAAAGATGTTATATTGTTGAAGCATAAATTTAAGATTTCTGATGCATCATTGTAAAACAATATCATTTTAAATTTTGGTTACATATTAAAAGTTACAGATTAAAATGTTTTT